TNTATATTTGAAAAAAAAATATAAAATCAGTTTGGTCGTCAATGGTAACTGCGAAAAGGAATCTAGCAAAAATTAGAGATGTGCATACAAAGGAAATTGAATTGTTTCAGATTTATATATTAGTTTTCATTGTTGCTAAGCATAATCAAGAATTTTAGGAGATGTTGTGTACTGTGTAGTATTTTTGAGCAGAATCGACCATTTTTATACGTTAATAGTCGAGACTTTACTTGTGTTAATAGTGAAAATCTAAAGGAGCCTAGAGGAACCTCAAGACGTATACAAAAGTGGTTTAAATTTTAGTGATTTATTAATTGACCTAAAAGACATCTTTTGACAACACAGGCATTTGAAATTTCTAAAAAAAAATTTTTCACTCCACCCTACTGTATAATGCTAATCAAATAATTTCAGTTTGGCTGATAGAAAACTTAATAGTCACTGCCTCGAACGACTTTAGTTGTGGCAGGTCAATTTTTTTGAACCTAAAATAATTTCTAAAATAAACAATTTCACCATGAAAGGGATCTGAAGACCGTAAAAAATCAACTTATTTAAAACCTGGTGGCATTGTCAGTTTAAGGGAAACACTATCAGACGCCCTTTGTCAAGTCTCATTTAATATTAAAATATCTAAACCATCATCAAGTAATTCATAAACAAAATTAAACTTAGACATTGATCTTATATTGAGTAAACCAACATTCGGAGATTTTATGGATCTTTTTTAGAAACCTCACAATCTTCCAGCGATTAACTGGACTCTTGACGCGGTATAAAAAATTTCACTTATCGCTAGCTTTTTTAACTTTAGCTTCATCTACCATCTTACGAAAATCAGTTTGTTGTTCACGTCATATCATGACTAATTCTGATGCTTTTCAAATTATCTTCAATTGTTGATTTCTTCGCTAGGAAACCAAATTGATAATTTTTGATTGTGATGCACGACGTTAATCTTCTCTCAATGATTTTCTCGACAATTTTCAGGGATTGTTCTAACAGACGTACACCACGATATGATGAACAGTTCAGTGGATCACCTTTGCCTTTGTATAGCGGAACTGTCATGCTATAGTTCCATTCAGTCGGCATTGAGCAATTTCTCCAGATTTCACGGCAAAGTTGTGGTAATGTTTGGATACCTGCAGTACCAGATGCTTTGATAATGTCATTTGTGAGTCCAGAGGACCCTGCTGCCTTTCCATTCTTCATAGCTTTCAGAGCTTCTGTAAGCTCCTCTACTGTGATGTTTGGAATCGGACCTTCGATGGGTGGAGAGTCAAAGTTGACATTGATGGGATTTGTTTCATTTAACAGACGGTTGAAGTATTCTTTCCACTGTAGCTTGATCTCATCTAGTTCAAAGATCATCTCATTTTTGTCGTTTTTGATACATGAGGCGCCAACTATGTCTTGTTTCGTACGCTTTGCTTGTTTTGCTATACGATACAGAGATTTCATTTGTTCACCTTTGTTTTTAGTGAGCCACTTTCTGCACTGATCTGTCCGAGCCAGTGCAATTTGACGTCTTGCATAGTTGTTTTTCTCACGGAAAATTTTATGTTCATCAACAGACGTTGATTTTTGCCATTGCTTGTATGCAGCTTTCTTTTCAGCTATTGCATTTTGTACACTGTCATTCCACCACCAAGTGTCACGTTCATGCTGTACCAGTTTTCCCACAAACTGTAGTTGCAGCGTTTATCAAAACGGTTTTGTATGTACTCCAATCTGTACTGGCTTGCGATTGGTGGTCTAACTGTGTGGCCACAATCTGTTGAAAAAAACATTGGCAAACATGAGCAGCAAATTTTATTTTCCACAACATCATCACATTTCAAACATTTCTCTTTAGTCATTACTGCAGATAAACTAAAAAAATCTAGTGTTTTTGGCAACCCAGGTAATCAACCAATAAGAATCAAAAACTCTCTTAAAGTAAACTTCAAAACAAAACAAAATCTACCATAAAATAATCTCACTATTAAAACTGATAAAATAAATTACTTTTCAAAAATAAACGATGCAAATTACCAGCCAAGTCACCAAACATTATTTGCATTAGACTATCAAACCGAAAACACGTGTGTGTAGGTACGTACAGAAGTATACATTTTTTTTTACATAATTTTAGCCCCATTTAAAGTGAGTTTAACATAAATAACAACAACTTTTCACAACAAGGAGTCAATATAAAGTTTAAATAAATAATAGTCATCCGGCATTTTAAGCTCCAAAACTTTCAAATGGTAATTAGAATAATAAAATTTTAATTCTTTTATCATTTTTTTAAAATTATTTAACATTAAAATAGTTTGCTCGAGTTCTGAGAATCATTGTGGAGATGGTATGGAATGTAAAAACATCCAAGTCAGAGGCTCGTCCTACACGGAATGCGTTTGCATGGATGATGAGTACAGGACTAAAAAGGGGACTTGTGAAAGTTTGTCGTGTTCATTCGATCAATCATCCATTAATCCAATCAATTTTTTAGTCAACTACAAATTTTATAAATCACCATTTTTGTGATGACCAACAGAGCTCTCAATAGGTTTCATAGGTCAATTTCCCTCTAATTATTATTGAAACGTAGTCTTTCATGAAATATTAATTTCATCAAAATAAGTTTTAAATTCTTGAGTGGCATAAAACGAGATAATGCCTTAGTGTTTTTCGTTTCACTCACCGATTGAATTAGTTAGTTTTCAAAATATTTTGTAAACCTGGCTAAATTTTTTGTATAAGTATTTTCAGGCTACGATGTATAATAAATATTTGTTGAGGGTTTGCGAAGTTCTTCGAAGATTTGATTGAATGAATAAAATTTTAAATACAAAAATATTTGACTTCTACCTATTGTTCTAATATAGTCGCTTTCATATTGGTCAATATGAAAGTTGGTTGAGATTGATTTCGAATTAAGTAAGAGGGGATGTAGCGTTTGTATAAAGAAAGTTTTTTAAATTCTAAAATTTAAATATTTGAAACTATTTTTAGCTCTCTTTATATGGCTCAATATTGTCAGAATTATGAAATAATACTGACTAAAAATACTGCAAAATTTTCAATGCAAAATTTATTCACTCGATAGGGGGCGTGGTGCAAATTAATTTACTCGATAGGTTACGACGATTTTTTTTTGTTTTGCAATTTAGATGACGTCATAAATTATTACAAATTATTTTAAAATTTAATTAGTAGTTTTTTTTATTAATTGGACATACCTTGGAAATTTTTATGTTTTTAAACACCCGAAACAAAATCTAATTTTGCTTTGATAAGGAAGGGTGTGGAATCGAAGAGATGATAGACTGGGAGGTTGACTAGTTACCTCCGTCGATTAATAAAATTGTTATCGAATATTTTTACGCGTTCGTGTGTTACTCAGTAAAATCATATAATTCGAAAAAGCCCAGTGCCACACAGGACTGGTCGAACTCACGATAAAAATATACACAAAAATTATTGTCGGACCATAAAAAAATTTCCTGAGAAAGATAGAGGAGGAGATTACCTACCTCACACCACCAGTTGTTTTAATTGTTTTCATTTATAAATTTCCGACAATTAGCGCCCAACGTGGGGCTTTGTCATCATTTGGAAATTCTCATCATTAAAATCTCCGACAATATATATATATATAACTCACTGATACGGTGGAATCGACTTTCATGTTTAGTATCTAGCATTGAAGGTTATCATTTGATATTACAACAATTATAAAATGTTTTACAAAAAGTTTTTCATAACATGGGAGCATGGGAGCAAACGAAATGGGAGCACAGATCAGACTTTAATATTTTGCTAATAATCTCAGAGTGTTTTCTACAAAAACGTATAAAAGTTTCGTGCAAATGTGATTATAGAGCTAAATAGTGAGGGGTCGAAAGTTAATCAAGAATTAAACTGAAAAAGGGTCATTGTAGTTACCTAACAAAAAATTGATTTTTCGAGATATAATGTAAGAAATTTAACTGTAACAATATATATAATTTTAATGATCAAATATGAAGAATTTAAAAATAACAAAATGTAAAACTTATTTCTAAACATAAGTATACAAAAAAATTGCAGGATTAAATTACAAAAGAAATCTTGCTTTCAAAAAATTAGTATTATCAACTGATATATATATCGTTGACTACGGAAATTTCAGTAAAGAAAAATTGGTTGACGGGCAGATATTGGGCGAGAGTATGATTCATTTGGACTTTATTCCCAATAATGAAGTAGAATGGATTATTGTTGACTTGGAGGATGTGTACGAAGTTGGATACGTTGAATTGTACACTAGGTGGAATTATAAATACTGTTAGTTTAAATATGATGTTTCACATATTTATAGAAATTTCTAGTAAGAGTTTTAAATAAGTATAATTCGTGAAATCTAAAATGCCGTCAAAATTTCAACTCGCACAACTTGTTATAAAATTTTATATATAAGTTTTTGCTGGCGAAACATGTTATTTCATGCAACACTTGTTACAAGCATAGAAAATTATTAGAAATAATCTCTCTCGTTCTCATTTAAAAGAATTTTTTGCTACATTGGTTATTAATTGATTTTTAGATATTATCTTCAACTAAAATAAACTTCACAAGAAACACTAAGATAGATGTTGCATAGTTGATTTTTGACTGGCTCTACATATTCCAGTTAATTTTTGACGAGTACCCAACCAGATGTATTGTGTCTTGTCAATATTCAGCTTCAATCCATTTGCCAGCATCCATTCTGAGACAGTTCTGACACCTGTTTGAGTTCTGTCCGCTAGTTCCTGTCTTTCTTTGATATTACAGTAACTATACAGCTGTATATCATCTGCGTAAAGGTGACATTTCAAACCCGATGACTCAACAACTTCCACAATATCTGCCGAATAGAGAACATAGAGCAGAGGTCCCAGAATTGATCCCTCTGGAACTCCTTTCAACAGTGGGGAGGAAGCAGGATCAGAGCCATCAACATATACCGTTTGCGATCTGTCAAACCAATAGGATTCAAACCAGGCAAGGACCATTCCACTCAAGCCATATGACTTTGCAAGTCAATCAAGAAGGAGCTTGTGGTTGACCGTATCGAAAGCAGCTCCGACATCGAGCAGAGCCAAGAGAGAGATACTACCAGAATTAATAGCCTCATAAAATCATTGAAGATCTTTAGAATCGCTGTCTCAGTTGAGCGTCCAGAACAAAAACCTGATTGAAGTTCAGGGAAAAGTCGGTTTAGTTTCAGGTATGCGATCAATTGTTTGGCCACCAATTTCTCAATGAGTTTGGAAACAAACGTGAGGTTTGAAATCGGCCGATAGCTCCTAACATCACTCGTATCGGAACCAGCTTTTTTTTAGCTTAGGAAGTATGATAGCCCTTTTTTGACTCTCCAGCAGACATGACGATTGTAGTGATGCATTACATAATGCACATATATATGGCATCAGATATGGCGTAGTTAGCAAGTTGACTGCAAAGTATGATGCTCAAACTTAATCAAATAATTTTTCTAACGTCTCATCTCATGACGCTCCACCCATCGAAGGTCCGATTCCAGACATTACAGTAGAGAAGCTGACAGAAGCTCTGAAAGCTATGAAGGATGGAAAGGCTGCAGGGCCCTCTGGACTCACAAATGACATTATCAAAGCGTCTGGTACTGCAGGTATCCAAACGTTACTACAACTTTGCCGTGAAATCTGGAGAAATTGCTCAATGCCGACTGAATGGAACTATAGCATGACAGTTCCGCTATACAAAGGCAAAGGTGATCCACTGAACTGTTCATCATATCGTGGTGTACGTCTGTTAGAACATTCCCTGAAAATTGTCGAGAAAATCATTGAGATAAGATTAACGTCGTGCATCACAATCGGAAATGATCAATTTGGTTTTCTAGCGGGGAAATCAATAATTAATGCAATTCACATCCTTTGGCAACTGCATGAGAAGTACCTTGCAAAGCATCAACAACTATCACACATTTTTGTAGACCTTGAAAAAACATTTGATCGAGTTTCCCGTAAAGCATCAACAACTATCACACATTTTTGTAGACCTTGAAAAAACATTTGATCGAGTTCCCCGTAAAGCAATCAGGTGGAGTCTACGTCGACAACTCATTCCAGAATATCTTGTTCGACTTATGATGGAAATGTATACGAATACTAAGACTCTTGTCAGCACAACGGTTGGAAACACAGATGCATTTGACATCGGCGTTGGAGTTCACCAAGGCTCGATTCTCAGTCCACTGTTATTATAACTGTGATGGAAGAAGTCAACATCAACAGGATTCAAAGTCAACATTAACAAAACCAAAGCAATGAACACTGGTGAACCCATCCAATCCACAGCTACTGGACGATAGCCCTGTTCAGTTTGTAAAGCTGGTGTAGGTAACAATTCAATCAAGTGTCAGCAGTGTAACCAGTGGTGTCACAAACGTTGTTCAAAAATAATTGGTACTTTATCTAAAGCGTCCAATTTTGTTTGTACTGCTTGCATCAATCCACAACAACAAATTCGAAATAGCACTGTTTTTGAAGACATTAAAATAAAGAAAGTCACATCGTTTCAATATCTAGGGGATGTTCTGGATTGTACTGGAACAGCTGAAGCTGCCGTTCGAGCACGCATACGTGCAGCCTGGAATAAATGGCATCTCCTTGCCTCTATATTGATGCGGCGTGACATCCCACTACCACTACGATGAAGACTTTATAAATCTGTGATACGTCTGGTGTTGTTATATGGTGCAGAAACATGGCCAATGAAAACTAAACTGGAACAACAACTTCAACGAACCGACATGAAAATGCTCCGATGGATGCAACGAATTAGTCTGAAGGACCACATCAAATCTACCAAAATCCTGCGTCGTGCTGGTTTAGATGATATAAAGGACGAATGCCGGCAACGCCGTCTGCGGTGGTTTAGTCATGTCAAACGAAGTGGAAACAGTGTTGCAGATGTTGAAGTACACGTCCCAAAGTCTGTCCAAAGAAGTCCTAGTCGCAAACAATCGAGCAAGACATGAAAGCTCTAAATTTAAATGAAATGGATACAACTGATCGTCTAATTTGGCGCAAAAAGTTGATGGCAAAGAAAACAACGTCCTACCTCGGTGAACCGGGTCTCTGGACGCAAAACGAAGATTGATTGATTGATTTCATCACAGATGTAATTTGCAAATGTAACGCGTTACTCGGAGTTAGTTACCTCAAAAAGTAACTAATTACTATTTATGAAAAGTAATAATTACTGTAAGTGTAACTAGTTACAATTTTTGAGTAACTAAATTACAGTAACGTGTTATGGTAACGGTCTACTTCACAACACTGCATAGATATTGTTATAACCGACCCCTTTAACTTGTAGGGTACGGTTATTTCTCTTAACGTGGATTCTTGATTCCTAAGCAGACTTGCTTCCAGATGACTTTATCAGAAAGACAACAGTGATGGCTATCACTTGTATTGCCGTAATCGATCACTCGTTCGTTCGATCGTTAAATCGTTAGAATACAGCACAATAACTAATCGACAAATAAATCACGGAATACGATTATTCGTCAGTAGTTAAGTTTCTCTTGTCCGACTAATTACATTGAGTTCTCTATTCCTGGTAGTCTTTCCTGCAGTGAGTTTCCAGCTATCAAAATCTTACCTCTGTCACCGGTGTATAACCTCCTGAAGATCCCTCTAACACCAGTGTCGTAACCTCTTCGACCTCGTAACTACCAACACCGATGTTATAGCTTCAGTACTCGCTATATCTCCAACACCGTGTTGTAGCTTCCAACGCAAGTCAAGAGTTTGTTTATCCGTAGATTCAAGATCTCCGATAGATGAACACAACTACTTTAAATGCAAACTACGTCAAACGTTTATTTACTACCAGCAGTAATAGAAACATTAACTTAATCGTAATAACTACATAAAATCAAATTAATCACATTTACGTCAATTGTGATACGCCTTCTGATTAGCTGTACTCCACGTGTTATTCTCTTCGTCGCTCTTCTATCCTTCCTTTCCTTGTCCGTGTTCCGACTTATATAGTGGGTGATGCCGCGTCACGTGACTTTTACAACCGTTTTAATCGGCTCCGCCTATTAAATTACCAAGCGCTTCATTTTACTTTCTAATTACTAATTTTTTTTTCGCCTCCACGTCTGTAACAATATATATATGCATTTTCAAATCTCTATAAGAATAAATATGATTCATCATAAAAATCTTGTAAAAATATTTTTTAATAACAACGATATTGATAATATCAAATTAAGTGGACCGTGTAAAAGACCTGAAAGTAGGTCTCAACGAAACACTGGAGCTTGCAACAAAATCCAAAATTGGCAGTTACGAATTATGCGGCATAATTACTGAGGTACGTAAAGCGGGTCTTCCGATGAGAATTACCTGCCAAGGAAAAAAAACTGGTCGTTATGTCATCATACAACCAAGAACAATAAATTTGGGTCTTGGAATAAAAGAACTTGAAGTCTACGAAGGTGAGTTTGAAGAAAATATTCTCATTTTCACAGCATATTTTTTACGATTATGTTGTGCATTGTTAAAATTGGCATCTGAAGCTTTCGCCCAAGAAAATATTTTTTTGCAGGAATAGTAGGCCAAACAAAAATACCGACCTGATAATATAAAATAATGATTCAGATGTCTTGTCAGAATAGTGGAATTTTTGCCTGATGACAATTTTTGTTTTAATATTTTGCCAGGTGAAACTTTTCACAATTTAATTTAATTATTTGCAACTTCAAAAAAATAGTTACGTCGGTTTTTTTTACAATTTTTTCTGTAGTTTATTAACAGATGTATTAACAGCAAGCAATAATAAATTTGTTATAGAATTAGGACAAGAGTTGAACGACAACTCTTCGTCTTCCAATACTAATGATGCATCCTCAGGTAATGTTCATTTTCCGTCGTTCTACACGACTGTTATAACAACTGGCAAAATCATTTCAATGGCTAATAGATTAAAATTTAAAAACAGTTTACACTTCAATTTTCTCTCCACAAAATTTTAAACTATTCACTATATTCACTATATACACACTCTTTACTTTACTATATTGCTATCATTTATCTGCACCGTTTAATAAATCAATAAATATTCGGTTTTTTTCTAGTATTCTTAAATCAGCTATAAAGTTTTATCTATCTTTAAAAAATGCTGATCCCGGATGTTCTGAAAGTGATAAGCCCATATCCTAATTGCCGGTTTCCTCAAAGGTTTCTGAAAAACTTATGCTCCTAAGAATGTAAAAAATTTTAATCAAACTCAATATAATTATTAAAAATCAATAGGATTTTGTTCGTAAATCCTCATAAGGGCAAGCAATGGCTGAGTTGTATTGACCCCTGCTAACCATTTTTGAATCCAAAATGTTTGCTTTGAGGATTTTTTAGGATTTGAAATCGCCTTTGACGTTATCCACCACGAAATATTATTATCCAATTTGTCAGGCTATGGATTCCGAAGCGTTGCTCCTGAATGGTTCAGATCATCCTTGAACGATCGTAAGCAGTTTGTGTCAATGAAAGTGTTGAGTCTACGTTGTTCTCAGGAGTCGTTGGAACTACTGCTTTTCATATTGTTTGTCAACGACATTTTTTCGGTGTCAGATCGTAGTACCTTTTGCACAGAATACAGGAATGAAGTATTGCCTGGTAATTGTCCAAAGATGTTGTTTCGCGTAATGAACAATGAACTAGAAAAAATATTATTACTTTTAATTAAATTAAATTAAATGGTTTAAACCTTATAAAGCCCTGCCATATAAATTTGGTCCTAAAATAAAAACCAACAATGAAATATTATACAATGTCTTTTGGGAATTTACTTTCAGATTTTCAATGAAATTTGTTTACGCATTTGGTTTTACGATCACATTGGACATTTTTTTACGTAACAGATTCTAAACATAGATCAAATCAATAAGTATGTAGCTTTCATTTTTGTATATAAAGTCAGATATTATAATTAATATCAATTTATAAACTCCTTTAAATTCTTAAATTTATCAAATAGACAAGCGGAATGTAAAGTTTGGTGAAGAACAGGTCTGTCACAAATGATCAAAATTGAGCTGTAAGAGGAAATCAATTATGTAATAAAATTGTAGGCAATGAAACGGGATCTATGACTTAAAATTCTTTTAAAGGCATGTTTATCCAATCATTGTCGGGTCGTCAGAGTTTTTTGAATTTTGTAAGAAATGAAAAAACTTTTCCATTATCTGGTTTTATCATTATTTAGTGAAAAGTTAATTAGTACAACTCTAGCATTTATTGGACGAAACATCTCTGTTCAAATTTTTTCATGGAAGATTCGCAAATATTGTTCGGTTGAATTGTCTTGCTGGCAAATGTTCGTTCTGAGAAAAAACTGTAAATTAAATTAAGCTGAGATATATAAATGATGTAATTTTCATACTGTTTAATATTGTGTTTTTTATTCGCTTGCTGTTTTATATTAATTTGTACCTAGATTGGTTTGTGCATTAAATTAAATAAATTTGTCAAGTATAAATTTTTATAACGATTGTTTCCTTATTAAATTCAACTTAATTTCATAGTTTATAACAATTTTTCAATTAATGTAAAGATCAACCGAAAGGAAGCATTCGTCGTCAATCAGTTGACTTCATTGGATGTTTTGAGGTGTACAGTGCGACGTTCACTTCCTCTCAATCGAGCCTCATTTCTTGTCAAGATGCTTGTGAAAAATTTGACGATAAGAAATTAGTTTTTGCATTAAAGGTAGTTGATGTAATTTTGCTGTTTTTTGACAAATTTTAAAACCTGGTAACTACTCAAACAACCTTTATACAATCATTTAAATGTAAGCCAACATTATACACCACAATTGTTTGGCTGGATTGGTTACAAAATTTAACTGATACAGAAATTGAAATAAAATACTTTTTTTTGTATGGTGGTTTCTAGCTTTGTGTCTAATATCATTTCTACGCCTCTGTTAGTATACGAACGTTTTATTCACCAGTGTTCGACTTGTTATGAAGAAGTCAGGTCATACATTTAAATAATATTTTACCCTATTTATTTCTCAACTCTCAATTATTTTAATGGAAAAATAAATAAACGGTCTAAAATTTCATAACGGAAATTTAATGAACTTTAGAGTTTTAGAGTCAAAGTTCGACCAAAAAATATAAATATTACATCAGTTTATATTAGAATTGGTAACATATTACAAAATAATTTGTTCCTGAAATGTGATACGGACAAAACTATTTCTCTGTATTCTGGTAACCGTATAATTTGTTAGTAATTAAAATATATAGGCTTTTTCGCCATTTATTTTTATTTCTTATGAATGTTATATTATGTTTTAATGTATTCTTATTATTCAAAACCACATACAGTTACCGAAGTAACACATATGCGCAATAATTTTTCAGATCTTACAAAAACTTGTTAAAAAATTAATCAAAAATGGATAACATTACACAAAATTAAACAATATTAAACTTCATTTAAACGAAATTGCAAGACACATTGAATGTAATGTCTGTAACTGCATTGAAAGCATATATGTATATTCTACGTATATAATGATTGAAAGGATGGAACCTGTTTCTGCGGGTTGGATGTTGATCGTATGTTCCATGCAGAATCACTCGACAGCTGTCAACCACATTTCGCCGTTTACGCTAGTGCGTGACATGTAGATATTTTTTTTTTACACAATTTTTTAATTTATTATTATTTATTACAGAGTTGATATATGCTCTGCAGAGTTTTATTTGATGTAACTTTAACTGATATCTAAAAAATATTTTATAATAAATATTCTGAAGCTTTACAGAAATATTTCAAAATAATATTTGATTTAATTCAGTCATTCATTTTCATTTTTTTGGTAACTAGGCAGGAGGGTGTTTTCAGCATCACCGATAGGATGCTTCAAAGATACAAACCTAGAGTCAATGTCAGGTTCAACTCTCAACCTGACAAGGAAATTAGCTTATGCGTCCTGCTTTTCCTACTGCGAGCATCATTATGCCAAACATTTTGCTATTAAGGTTATCTACACACACATACACACACACACATGCACACTTACACACACAGTTGCGCAACCACACGTTGTTATATATTTACACACACGCATCTACAGGATACCAAGTGTTTGTGTGGTTACTTGTACAACGCGGTTGAGCAGGTTTCAATAAACGAATGCGTGATTACTTGTTCAGATGGTATTAATAAATCATGTGGTGGCAACAATCGCTATTCGCTCTACAGTCGTAAGCTCTGTTTTGATTGAATTATTTGTTTACAGCAGTTTTGAGATATTTGTTTACTAATTTTTAAATTTTTGTTATTATTACTATTATAGTTAGTATTATTGATATTTTTAGTAGCAGTAGCAATAGTAGTTAGTGTTATTTACGACACGTCTCTTCTTGAGACCCTAGCCGGTAAATTTGATTTTGGTTCTTATTAATTAATAATTTAATTCTCGTTTAACACTGGAAGCACTATCAATTGCTGCATAGTGCCAGATTGTGATTTTCAACAAATTGATATTTTTATATCTATGTCTAGATTTGTGTGGCGCTTTTCGCTTTTCGCTTGACTCATTGTGAGGAACATCTTGTGGATCTTGTTTGATAGAATTAATAAAAACATTTCCTGAAAATATTTTTACATAGTTTATTTTTGAAAAAAAAAATTCAGTAAAACACAGGTCGTTTATGAGTCCTAATTTTGGTCCGGTGCTAGCCAGGTGAGCTATTTTTAACGTTTAGTCCCATTAGCCAACAACGTTTATCAAGTTTGTCATTTTTTGCTAAAGATCATGTGATGATTTCATGGCGCCGAATCTATACAGCTGGATATTATCAACATACAAATAAAATTGTAGGCCACTTTTTATATTGTAATGATGTCAGACATGTATAACGCGTACAGGAGTAGCCCGAAGGCTAATTTTTTGGAACCCCTTACATAAAAGCTTAACTTGCTACATCCGATCCGTGGATACCCACCTTTTGTGTCCTTGATAAAAAATGTGATGCAAACAAATCCAAAGCTGAGCCATCGATGCCGTACGATAGCTTGAGTCGATTCAGCAAAATTTATGATCGACGGTTTCCTATGCAGCAACAACGACAAGTTAGGGCAATTATGGCAATGTTTTCATCGTCGATTCTATCAAACACATCTGTAAGTACTTTTCACCAGGCCGTCTCTGTTGAGTGACGTTTCCGTAGTACTGATTGCCGACACTAAGTACTGGGTATCGATCACGTAACTAACTTACTAAGTCATTAACTAGTCTATTAACAATTTATTTCATTTGTTTTTTCAAACCATTACTTTCATTTTATTTTCTATGCTTTTCATGCTTAAACATTTTTCTCCGTTATTTAATTTTCGCTATCACTTTTATACTATTGCCTTGCATGCTGTAACAGTTTCTACGTTTGTCAGATTCTGTTTTTTTTCGCATAATAATATAATTAATAATAATAAAAACTAATTTCAATTATGGTATTAAAGCGTTGTTTTAAGATAATTCAATAGCTGCTGGTAATTATCTTTTGAATTATATTTAAGATAAAATTTAGATTTGATATTGACCTATATCTGCTGATCAAATCTGAATGTAGATTTGCTTTTTTAACAACGGATTGCTTTTTTTGGGAAACTTGGAAGATTTAATGGAGTGATGCTGTTTTGACAATCTGCAGTTGAAATAGGATCAAATTGTCTAATAAGTCTTTTAGTATCAGTTTTTGGACTGAATTAAAAAACATTGTTTTGAGGGCGAGTATTATATAATTGATTTTAATTCTACACCTGAAGTCACGTCAAAATGATAAAAACGATAAAAATTTTGCGAATACACTGGTTGATATAAAGTAACATCCGAATTTGAAGGGAGGTACAGGCTAATATCATATGCCTATAGGGAAACAGTCGACAACGCACTTCACTATTTTTTGCACGTTAAGGATGAAACTATATTTCATACGTGGTGAAAGAACTTAATTAACTGTGATCAGATACGATTGGCGGATCTATAATGATGTTATAAACTTTTAGATAAACCGGGTGATGAATAACCCACCTTTTACATGCGTTGGTGTTTAAACGTGTTAAAAGTAACCAAATGTCGACAGTAAACTTGCTAGCTGATTAGCATATAAATTGGTCTGGTTAGCTGAATAGCCTGTGAATTTGTAATGTTTTCAATATGTACGTTAATATCACTAACAATTGCAACCTGTTCACCAAATTCGGTTGGTTTTTCTAAAAGCTGACGGAATTTAACTAAAATCACTTGTGATATTTTTGATGAGCTCGGCTTTTACATAGAAACCTAAATTATTTTGTCTGAGCGATATGGAAGCAAAGTGACACAACGTTCTAAAATTCAACACGTTTCAAAAAGTAATTTTATGTCAATCTTAGTGAATCAATGGGAGTCTCTCAGAATTATGTCCTCTCCACCACCTGGATGACAAACTGACTGTTTGACTACTCCTGTTCTTGGTTTTTTTTGGCAGCATCAAATCAACAACGCTTGTTGAAGAAAGACATCTTCTGTGATAGAAGCTGACTATAAACAATGGTTTAAACACTGAAATTTTCAGCAAAAATAAATTAGCCACATAGAGATATTTTCATAAAAAGCCGTTTACGTTCAAGTGTTCAACTTTCAACAATTTGACGCTGTTTTGTAAACTCGTATCTCGTTTTTGCGATTAGTATGAAAAGGCCATATACGGGGTTTGAACGCGGCTTTTTAGTTTCTCTTAAGGCATACAACTCGAAAGCATATTTATTAGCATAAATATATACAGCTGTTCTAACAAATCGACTTTTGAAATTATTCAAACCAGATTGAAAAGATTAAAATCACATTTTAAAAATTAAAAAGGCAAAAATCAGAAAAACAAATATGTTTCATTGATACAAATATACAAAAAATCTGACATCTACAGCTATAATAATGTAAATACAATCATAAACGCTCCGTCCGTTTGAGCCGATGAAGACAAATGTGTTCGAGACTTTAAGCAGAGTCGAATTGACTCCATCGGCTCGGCTTGATTCGGACAGCTTCGCCCAGACTTAACAACACTGGTAGCAGTTAAGATCGTAATAAAGAGTGAAATTTTGTATTAAGAAATTTCATGTTGATACTCAAAATTAATTAATTTTTTATGAAATTTTTAGTGTATGGCACTTTTGACTTTCGTGGTAAACCTCGAAATAATTTTTGTTTCAACTCTAAACAATCAACTGGATGCCGATCCAACGAATGCAGCAAGGGGTGGAAAGGAGAACTATGCGATATTCGAGGTACGTTCGTCAATCTCAGCCCGATATATTGAAATTGTAACACTATGGACTCAAAATCACTTCATCTCGATATATTGAATGAACACTGGATCAAGGATGACACTACTTATCATCCTTGATCCAGGTTCCAAATAAGTCCAGATTTAATTAAACCGAATAAGTATGATGTTATAATTCAAACATTTTTAATTTCAAACTGTTGAAACAGATTGTAATGTAAACAATGGTGACTGTGGTAAGAATCAGTGCGTGGAAATTAAAATTTCTAATTATAAAGCTACAGTTATATGTAGAATTCCAGATGGTTTCAAAGTGTCTAAGAAAGGAAATCTTTTTAGTTTGTATTCGGAGACTTCAAATTTGTGTATAGAAAATTTGATATGAATCATGTTTTGTAAAATTTGTAATATTTGAGCGTCGTAGTTGTGCTGCAAATCTGCAGCAAATTGTTGAAGATTTTTATGAAATTATTTTATTAACTGACTATCAAGGAACACACGTGATGTATCTTGGATGTTACTGGAGTGTTGTCATTGAGAAGACCACACTTGTTCAATCCTATGCAGATTGCAAGAGCTTCTGTTTGTCCGTGGAGAACATTTTCATGATTGGCTTGCAAGTAGGTTCTTGATGATTTGTAAGTAAGAATAACAAAAATTTGAATGAAAATCTGCAAACGTTGAACGACAGAGGGGTGAGGCATGCCACTGCCTGAGTAGTGCAAAATATCCAGTCAGTTCATCTCATTGTAATATGAAATGTTCCAATGATTACGATTCGTGCGGCGGCCTCGAGTTCTTCTCTGTTTATCAAAGTTATTCACCTTTGTTTTTTATCGTTTAATTTTTTGTTTAATTTTTTAAATATTAAAATAGGCAACAGTTTAAATGAATAAATTAGGTTTATTCTTAAAATTGTACGTTCGTTAAATGTTGATAGAATTATTTTATACTTCATCAGTTAAAGAAAAATTGGATTTCAGCAAATCTTTAGTGAGTTTAGATAAATTCAACGTCAGTAGTCACTTTAACTTATCAGTATCTTCATGGACAATCGAGAAGTGCATGTTAACTTGCTTTGAAAAATATTTCCGCTATTCTACATTAAAGGTTTGTTGCTAATTTTAACTACTTTCTGAAACTTTTAAAAGTTTGATTGGCTTTACATTTGTATTCACACTAGTAAATTCAATAATCTTAGTTAATCCTTTGAGTGATTATTCAATTGTTGCCTTCCGAATTTTCTTTTGATTTTTGATTACATAAATCGATTTAGACATAGGAGAATGAAACTCAAAATTGAATATAACTCCACTGCTATTGATACAGAACGAGCCGGATAAAGAACCGATTTGTTTTTGTTCTAATCCATCCGACAGTGGTGGTGCAATAACATGTTTGAAAAATTTGGACGCTTTGTCCAACTGTTCAGTTAAATGTCCCGGTAATAAACTTCAAATATGTTCTGGAATAAATTGTCAGCCAAGAAGAACAAGTACGATAAAGTTTATTTTATTTAGCTTCTGTTGGTTTTATTTTGATTAATCAAAATTAGAAATCAGAATTTTTTTGTTTGTTCTACTAGCTTTTAAAATTTTTTTTCATCTAAATTTAAGAAAAATTATTATAAAATTGCCAAAAATTTTGTAATACTTTCCAATATTAAATAAGATTCTAGGCACTTTGAACATCAAACCGCTTTTTCATATCAATCGTACTGTAAATCAACCGATCAGACTACAATGACTTGCAAAGATGGGTGCCAACCAGGTTGGATGAATAAATCATGTGACGAGAGAGGTTGGATATTCTTTCTGGATTTGTTTGTGATTTTTCATGAATATTATAGATTAATTAAAAATTTTATTAACACTCATAATTTCCGTATTTGTTTTCACGTTCTAAATCTCTCATAATTTACATTTTATCGAATTCGTTTCGTTGTTTCCACTTCCTTCCATTTCTTGACAGATCTTACAAATTTCTTTATCCAGTTTCTCAACTTCAGCAGTACAGCTTTATTCAGCCGTCATTCTTCAATTTGTAAATATGTCTAAAAGTCCGAATTTTTTCCGACTTTTTTAAAATAATTTTCGGCATTACACGTTCTCTCTTATGATTCTGGTTATCAACTTTTGACTCCAACAATTTTTTTAAATATATTCTTTTTTTCAAATCTTTTTTTCTAAAAATTAAACATATCTTACACTGGATGCAACTGAATTTAAGACTGCCTCAGTACATAAATTGAAAATAAACTCGTTATAACTATTTTCTTCTGTTTTGAATTTTTACCTACTCAAACTTTTCAAAGAAACACATATTGTTGGGTAATTTGCATGCATGCATGCATAATTAAAATCTACCAAATTTTTAACTTTTGAAAGTTTACGATTGAGCTTTTCTATATTTCTAACAGTAATTTTGTAACTATCCTTCAATTTATTAAAATTAATAAAAAAATCGTTGGTGTTCATGGTGAAGACGATAATTATATATATATATTTATTGAATTAAAATAATATTATTATTAGTGACAACCAATTTGGTTTCAGACCTAATTTTTCAACTGAATTAGCTGTGTTGCATTTAGCCCACACAGTGATTTAATGACGGTATTTTGACGGTTGGCGTTTTTATAGATTTATCAAAAGCGTTTGATATGATTAACCATGACATCCTACTTATCATACTGTATTCCTATGGTGTTAGAGGTCTAGTACATTTATGGTTCTGCTCATATGCTCATATCTTAAGAATGGGAAACAATTTGTTAATATTGGTGATCACTGTTCGGAGACTCTTTATATCAGTTTTGGAGTTCCTCAAGGTTCCATTTTAGGACCTTTTCTTTTTACACTATTTATTAACGACTTGTGTCATGCCTCTGAAATAGCCATATTTGTTCTGTATGCGGATGACACCACTATTCTTTTCCACACCAAGAATCCTGCAAATGATTCGTCTATAATAAATGGTGAACTTGAAAAAATAGTTAACTGGTATACCTTAAATAAGCTTAGAATCAACTATTCAAAATGCAGTTATTTAATATTTGGTCCGAGGATTTTAACAAATTCTTTGTCTGACTTAAATATTAATATTAACACTAACAATATTGCCCGATCTGATTCAATTAGGTTTCTTTGAGTCTTAGTTAAAGATAATCTTTCCTGGGACAACCATATTAATTTTATTTCTGACAAATTTAACAAATTAATAGGTATACTACACAAGATCAAACATAAACTAAATAGAAATATACTTCTGGAACTGTATAACACACTCGTTTATCTTCATCTCGTTTATTGTAACTTACTTTGGGGTAATTGTTCTGCTGTGCACTTGAATCAGGTCAAACGTTGTCAAAACCGTTTCATTCGTTTGTTATTAAATCTCCATCCGTTTTGCTCTGTTTCAAAATATTACCCCTCCTCTCTCCTCAACACCCAAGTTTCACCACTATATACCATCGCTGCTCTCCCACATGCTTTATATACCCTCCCTTTCATCTTCACTGACCATTTCTTCCAACACAATACCCCACCCAGTTCCCTAAATTTCATCCATCCCACACGAACTCTAGCCGTATCAGCACTTAAACATCCCCATCCGCGTTCAGCTTAACCCCTAAATAAACAAAGCTTTCCACTCTTTCAATACCACCACTCAACCCCGTACTTGCGTCCGTCTTATTAATCACACTATGAACACATTTCTTACATTTGAACGTGCCTTCCACCTTTTTCAGTGCCCCCATCACACCACTACATCTCTTATGCACCCACTTCTGACATCCTATACACAATACCGAGTTAGCCTTCACTCTCCTGTCACATACCCCACAGGAGTCTATTTTACTTATCACTAAATTTCATCCATCCCACACAAACTCTAGCCGTATCAGCACTTAAACATCCCCATCCGCGTTCAGCTTAACCCCTAAATAAACAAAGTTTTCCACTCTTTCAATACCACCACTCAAGCCCGTACTTGCGTCCGTCTTATTAATCACACTATGAACACATTTCTTACATTTGAACGTGCCTTCCACCTTTTTCAGTGCCCCCATCACACCACTACATCTCTTATGCACCCACTTCTGACATCCTATACACAATACCGAGTTAGCCTTCACTCTCCTGTCACATACCCCAAAGGAGTCTATTTTACTTATCACTCGCTCCTCACCTTTCCCACTCACCATTACCTTCGTCTTACCAATATTAATTTTTAACCTTTTCTTTTCAATAACACTTTTCCATCTGTCAAATTTTAGCTGCAATTCTTCTATGCTATCAGCCATCAAGACTAAATCATCTGCATACAAAATCTCAAATAACAACCCCTCCATTATGTTTCCACACACAACATCCATCACAATTGCAAACAAAAACGGTGATAACACTTATCCTTGATGCTTTCCTACCTTAACACTAAAAGCGTCCGACATCCCCCTTCCGACCCTCACCTTTGTCTTCGCCCCTTCATACAGCTGCATCACAGCTTTTACAAGTCTCTCATTTACTCCTTTCTTCCTCAACGCCTATTCAATGACCTTCCTCGGTACTCGATCAAAAGCCTTTTCTAGATCCACAAAACACATGTACAATCTTGTTTCTTCTTTCTATAATTCTCCTGCAACATTCTCACCATGAACAACGCATCCACCGTTCCCCTGCTAGGCATAAACCCACACTGCAAGGAACTTTGCTTTGTTTAAAGAAACTATATAAACGAAACCTGCACTGAATATGATATATAAAAAATCGAAATAAGGCCTTATCTGCATGATGAATTAGAGTAACAACGGTTTTATTAAATTTTCATGATGAACTGGGATAATTAATTATATTTCCAACAAATTTAACAATTTTCAGTAAATTCTTATAAAGAAAATTGAAAAGACAAACTTTAACTTGATTAATGTCAGCAATTTAGTAGAATTCAAACAATTCCTATATATATATATATATATACATATATATTATACTGTATATATATATATATATATATATATATATATATATAATTTTTCGACACCACCAATTGTCCAGATTGTTCGATGAACCGTGACATTTGCAAGCCGTTGCTCTGTCAGCAAACAAACGTTATGGGGAAGGAATATTCTGAATGTGTCTGCCAGCGAAATTACTACGCAATAAGTTTTTCTAATTGTTTCCGTTAGAAATATTTTTTCCCAGTTTTTCAAAATCATACATAGTGTAAAAAATTTGGTAATTATCAACAACACATTAATTCTGTTCAAAGGTCTTCCAAACACAGTGAACTTGGCATTTGGTAGGAAGGTTATAGCAGAAACTTTAAATGTGAGTCATTTTCAGGAATCCATCTTAGGTAAATCAGGTCTAGATTCACAACAACTTGCCTGGCAATATGCAGTAGATGGATTGATGGTGGAGTGGAACGTTGTTAGTTTGCTCTATGCGAACAGTGACAATTTGTCTTTCGTTGGTTGGATGGCTGTTGATCTGGAAGATGAATATCAGATAGAAACTATCGTTATTTATCCTAGGGAGTGTGACCATCGATGCAAAAGTTAAAAAATTCTATATCTTATTGGATAATATTTTGTAATACTTTTTTCAAAAGATAGAAAATTAATTTTGTAATATATTTTACCATGTTGTTATCATTTGACTTTGAGCTGGTTTCGATGTTGAGAGGGTTTTTAGAAATTTGTAAAAACATTTTTTAGAAAAGTATCTCGTTTTAATGTTTTGAAGGTGCAATTGTTGTGACTCTCAACTCGTCCGACTCGAAATCAGCTGTTTGTGGAAAATATCCAGAAAATATATCAAATTGTAATAAGAACGATATAATCAACATCACTTGCAAGGACATGGGGCATAAAACTAGATACGTTATTATCACAAAAGATGTTGACGTCGATAAAAACAATGCAAATAAAGGCGAAGGTGAATTTGTTTTCAACGAAGTCGAAGTCTACGGAGCTGGTACGTTTTAATGGCTTTATAGTTTCAATAGTTTATTTATTATTAATTTATTATTTCCAGTCAGAAAACCTAATCCATTTGTCTATGTCGGCTGTTTTCAAGAATTTTCCTATTTCAACTCATCCGAAGATCCCAAGCACAGTAACGATGCTGATTGTTACAAATTTTGTGAGGGATCCAATGTAGAAAATTCAATTTTTTCTATTTACGTAAGCTCACCTTACATTTTTATGAGCTTTTTTCATAGATTTTTTCCAAAATTTGAATGTAATGCAATTTTTCTTATTTGTAAAGTGACTTTCATTAATAAATGATGAAATGATGATCTTCTAATGTTTTTAGAAACAAGCTTGTTACTGTGGCACAGATGCTAATATTCAAATAGATATGTCCATTTCCTGCGAAGAATATACCGTCTTTTCAAGTTAATACTATTTTCTTTTAGGAAAACCGATTTAATTCACCTTATTGTTGACTTTTTGTTAATAAATGTTATATTTTCTAGATAAAATGTCAACAGGCCATCATGCAAAATAACATCATAAATTTCATGTTTTGAGTTTATTTATGATTTATATTCTACAAAAATACTGCGATTTAAAGACTTCCAACCGGTTTTTAATCAAATTAGTTGTTGATTAATCCGAATATTAACATATTCAGTGAAAATAATTGCTAATTATTTATTTTAGTCTTATTAACTTTCTAAAAAGCTATGTATGCATTATAGTTTATTGCGTTTCAAAACATCAACAACAGTTTCAAAAATTTACAATAATTTTAAAATTAACTCAGGTTTGATTGTCAATTAAAGTAATTTAAATTTAATTTTCAATTTTAATAATTAATTTACTAACATGTAAGCTAAATTATTAAAACTGCAGCTCGATTGAACAAGCCAAGTTACTTGGGTTGTTTCCATGAGGACACAATCTTATCGAGAGCACAGTCAAGAAAAGAGGTTGATACACCATTCAAATCATGCATGCTATATTGCAATGCCTACCAATTTGAAGAATTCGCAATCATGGTAGTTATCTTTGATTACAATTAATTTCGTTTGATTGAGACAAACTATTGTTAAAAGGAATGAATCAACAAAGTTTATTGTAAATTTTTATTATTAGCGTTATATATCATAACATGATTACAATATTTTCTACTTCTTTCTCGTGCCTCACTCCTTCTTTCGCGTGCCTCATCCTTTCAGGATATTGGCGACCATTGGCCTCCACAAAACCCGATCTTTAACACTGTAGTAGTTGAAATGTATGGTATTCAACAAGTAACGCAAGGACTTCACAAATGTAATTTGCTGTCGTCTGCGATCTCTTCCCCCGACAATCTTTCCAGTAGAAAACCCTAACTCATTGCTTCCTTTCGCATGATGTGACCAAAAAACTTTAACTTTCCCTATCGGATTATTTGTAGTAATTTCCCCTTTTCATAACCGGACTGTTTTAATACATCCTCATTGGATGCATGTCACGGTCCTTGGCAGGAATGGATTGTAATACCTCCAAAGCGGAGCCTCCTAGTGCTAACACCAATGCCGTCGCTTGTTCTCTCGTATACTACCCGTAGCTGAGTGCTGCTGTTTCAAACTGAGTCTGGTTGCTTGTTTCTAATTCCCAAGTGATTCTTACTATTTCTCAATGGTGCTCCCGTTCTAGTCCGTCGACTCGTTCGTTTATTTCGTCCTTTTTCTGGCCAACTTTTTTGCTTAACTCGTCAAATTGCTGGTCCATTTTATCAATCCGTTCATCTAATTCTGCTTTGAAGTTTTTTGTTTGCTGTTCAATCTTATTGTTTATTCTGTCGAACCTATCGTTTAATTCTATTCTGAAATCTTCTGATTGCTGGTCGATCTTGTCGCGTTTTAAATTTTTTTAATTCGGCTAACAAAGCATCTGAAAAGTCGAACTTATCCGGATGGATTTCTTCTTTTATTAGAGCGTCCTTTAGGCGGTTTATCAAAACTGCCTTCGCTTCTTCCGATTTGAGGTTTCTTTGTCGTAGTTCTTTCCTCATATAAACATATAAATAAATAAATATAATAAACTAATCATATAAATAAACTAATCAAAATAACTACATAAATTACATTTACGATTTCGCTTTCTCTTTCCTTGTAACCTCAACTGCTTGTAAGCCTCGCTCGTAGGTCGTATTTACAGCCAATTTTTAGCGTAGACAGGTCTCCCTGCCCAGGACTTTCCTCTATCCGCCACCTGGGGACGCGCCTCATAGCCAGTGCACCCCAGCATGAAGCACAATCAAATAATAATCAACAACAATCAAATAATAATTAATGTAGCGAAATTCAATCAGTCCCGCGGTTATAACATTATCATAAATACATAAACAACAAAATGATTTCAAACTTAAGCAATTTTGTTGGTTACGCTAAGCCCATCCAAGTGATGTTACTATCTTGATTACTTTGAACTAATGGCCGATTAACACCCCAAAAACTGGAACTAATAGATGAGAGATTGTTATAAAGTTTTGCATTGTATGTTTGTAGTTGCAACTGAACATGAACCTCTAACAAAATCAACCTGAAAAATTATTATTGCAAAAAATATTCTAATGATCGAATGCATCACTCAAAATATTATCGAGCAAATCTTCCATCGTTCAGGCGAATCATCGTTCGGGCAAAAAAATGTGTCGGGTGAAAGCTCCGGTTATCTTGCTTTATAACTATTTTTGATATTTTCAATTATTTTGCACTTGTCATTCAACTATTTCTCTTTTGTCTTTAATCATATTTTTCTGATTGTTGTTTCCACCATTTTTGTGTATATCAGGATCGCAGCCTTTCACTATCCTTCCTTTATTCATTAGAGATATGATGTCATCTGTTATCCATTTCTGACCTTTTCAAGATATTTCATATTTATATTTAATTACATCTTCGGTCAATAACTAAAAACGATTCCGTACTTTAACGTTATACTTATCCTTGATCTTATCATTTTGACTGACAAAATTCAAACTTTTTGGAGCTACTTCACTTGATTTTTTTTAATTTTATCTTGATTTTACAAACAATTGGGTTATAGCCACAATCAGCTCTAAGGTAACTATTGCATTTTAAAAGAGCATTTCAAAATCGTCTATTAATAGTAATGTAACCATTCATATTTCTTTGTCACCGAGACTTCAGGTATATTTTCTTATTTGGTGATTGGACCAACCACGTCATGTACATGTATTTTTTCGGAATCAACTTTTGCATTCAAGTCACCCATCGTAATGACAACTTCTTGAGATTTGCATGTTTTTAAAGCATCATCAAGATCACTGTAAAAGCTTCAAGGTCTTTTTCACTGCTTTTAGACGTTGGTGCATAAACTTAAACTTGAATATAAGCTAGGTTGAAAAGTTTTGCGTGTATTTTGACCAAAAAAACTCTATTGAGACCGCCCAGAAACCTTCTAATTTTTTAGACATTTCTTTGTTTAAAAGTACACTTATTTTCTGTTCGTGTGAATCACCTCCAAAGTAGATAAATTAAATTTGCCTTTTTCAAAAGTAATGACTTCTGATTTTTTTCACCGAGTATTGCTCAAACCTAAAATGCTGAGATTCCCTTTTTTTTATTTCTTGTTTTACTCTTTCAAATTTCCAACTCTAATACAACTTTCTAACGTTCCATTTTGCAACAGTGAATAGCGTATTTAACGTGTCACTATCATGACGTCTTTTGATGTGGTTTGTGTTTGTCGGTGGTTTTCTTAGCAAAAGTTGCTGACATCAGGTTGTCATTACTTAGTTTCCTAATGACATTACCTAATGACAGTAGGCTGTCAGTAGTTGCTGTCAAAAACAACATTTACTGGATGGTAAGAAATGAACAAACGATCGATCGCTTATAAAACACTCACCCCTTCCACATTAAAACATCTGGTTGTTAACAGGAAAGCAAGATATGCGTGTGCGGTGACAAACTTTTCAGTAAACATCAACAAGTTGAATCAAATCTTTGTGAAAAGTGCAGAAATGACAAATCGAAAACTTGCGGTTCTAGCAAAACATTTTCTCTTTACAAAAGTAATTTTTTCATTTGTAATGTTTCTAATTAACCAACATCGCGATGATCTTGTCTGAATTTGTGTGAACGTTTCATTTTTTATGATAAAAATTTATTGTGAAGAAAATTAATAAATTTGTAAAAAAAAATGTTTGATAAGTAATAACAAAAATGATTGATTAGTATAAAATGTGTTTGTTAATTAACATCAGGACAGAACTTGTTCAACTTCAGAAACGACGCCGTCAGTTATCACTTCTGCATGAATGAAGAAGTGATTCCAAGTGATTGTACACCAGGCCAATGTACGCCTGGATGGACTGGAGAGCTTTGTGATAACAGAGGTGTATTGAATTAGTTTATCTTTTAGGAATTTTTTTGGGCGTTAACAATTTTTTTCGCCTAGTTATTTAATTAATTGGCTTAGTGATTATAAAATACAACAGTAATAATATTAAAAACGTTCCAACACATCGGAGACAGATTGTAACGTTGAAAATGGAGACTGTGGTGTCAATGCTTCGTGTGTTGCTAATAAATGGGGGCAGAAGCTCGTAACAGAATGCCAATACAAACACAAACAGGGCTTGACCAAAGATGGAAAAATTCAAGGTAACATTTTTTTCATTTAGTTTATCTTAATATCTTAATAAAGTTCAGAAGTTATATAACATTAAATGTAACACAATACAACAAAATACAAAAACAGAACGCTTAGTTATGGTAAAAGCATTTATTAGCTTAATTGTTAATGAATATTTGTTAGCAATGTTATTCAATAGTTCAGCAAAGTAGCATAAGAAATTAATATGAAGTGTTTAGATGTTTTGCATCACCGAATATTTCTGACTCTTTAATAATTTAACTAAAAAAATTATGGAAACTTAAAAACATAATAACGACAATTCGGACTGAAAACTCGAGTTTTTCAAGACTGTATGTTGCAAATAAGTATCTGATTAAATTTTTTTTAGTCTTTATTATGCACAGGCTTGGACTGGGCCGCCGGGACACTGGGAAATTCCCGGTGGACCGACGGTTGCCATCTGCTAAAAAAAGTTATTACATTTTTAGTTTTAGCAAAAATTACCTTTAGTCATGAGACAGCTTTAAATAAAAGTTTTTATTGGATATAGCCAACTGCCACAGCAAAATCATTATATAAGAAGTCTAAATATATTTGCATAATAAGCACCCTGGGTCAGTGGTTATAACCTAAAACATATTAATTTCAATGCAAAATTTTGATTTAATTTTTCAAGCAGCTGCAAATTTTGAAAAATTTGCAAACAGTGAACCAGATAAAAAAAATCTCAACATTAAAAGGCAGATCGTTTTGAACAAAAAAAGAATTATTTCCAAACAGGCGCTTGAAAATGTGAATGATGAATTTTGTGCCATTGTTCACAAAGTAGTTATGGATCAAGCGATTAATAGTTTAAAACAGAGATTCTCTGAGCATGGTAATCTTTACGCTGATTTATCTTTTTTTAGATTCAAATAATTTCGCAGAATTTTTGAAAAGAACGCCCAACGACGCACTGCAACACTTGATTGGGTTTTTCTAAAATACTGATGACACTGTAACAAAAGACCAGCTTCTTGGATTTTGCAGTGAAACGGGAAAATTTTCAAGCACCTCTCGAAGATGGCTATAATTTAAAATTTGAAATGGAAAGGGAAGACATTTAACAAGCTGAATCATTAGAATTACTTGAAATTATGAACACCATCCCATCGGTTGAAAACAACAACAAGCACATTTATGCATGTAAATCATTTATAAAATGATTTGTTTGTTGTTATTTTGTTTTCCTAGGTTTTATTTGCATTGCTTTGCATATTCAAATTTCTATTTGGCTTACAAATTTGTTCGACATTATTTTTATTGCAGGTTGCTTATGTGAGGTCGTTTTTAAAATTGAAACACACTTTGAACAAACTTATCATAGAGATTTGTTGAGCCAGTCAACTTTACAACCATTTATGTCAATGTCTTGCTAGAAGGACCTTCCTCCAAGAATCAACAACAATGAAATCTCTGATGTTTTCAGCATCGACTAGTGAAACGATGAGAAAGCTGTTACACTAGTTCATAAGAAATAGAAATTTTCGTGCTCGTGATTTTTATGTTTAAGTTGTTAGAATAAAACAGGAGATATTCAACTGATAAAAATCATTCATGTATGACCTCAAGCACTATTTTCGAAATTTAAAATTTCCTTTTTATGCATAAAATAATCACAGAAGCTAAAGAAATATACAGAAATTGAATTAAATTAAAAATAGTGATGTGGGCCGCCATGACCAAATTTAAGCCAGTCCGAACCAGATTATGCAGCTCTGACATACGCAAAACTGCTAACTTATCTTGCTGTATTTGTAGTTAAATCTTCATGTCAGGTCACAAAGTCCCCTAACATCCACACCGCATGACTTACACGTTTTTCGTATGCACGCGTAAGCACCGCATCATACTGGCACAGCGTATGAAAGTCTTTGAGTTTCGAGTCGATAATATTCGAACCAGGCTATTACGTAAACACAGCGAAAGACATAGTAGTTTTGCCGATTGAGCTAGCTTTTTCGACTATTATACGAAAGTCTATTAGTTTTTTTTATTTGAAATTTTTTAAAAGAATATTATTATTATTAAAAATGATATTTAGATTTTTTAAAAGAATGTTTGAAGGGAATATTTAAAAAAAATTAATTTAAAAAAACAATCAAAATGTGAAATAATCATCATACTACACATAAACTGATTTGTTCATTCCCATATTTTTCGATCATTTAAACGAGTGAAATCGCTCAAATATCTGAAATAATAAATTTCTGCAAAATTTCATCTGAAGTGTTGATAATCTTTATTCCAGTCTTTAATATTAGATTTTGTTTTGTAATTTATAATAGTCTTAAAACCCTTCAGCAAAAGAGTTAAACATTTTTGACTGCAGTGCCTTCTTCGTAATAGAGATGAAAAGGAATCATTTTATGAAATCGATTACTTTTGAAAAGTAACCGAAAGATTTGGATACTAAATAGTAGAGATGCACCAAATAGTTAACTTGACCGAAGGCCAAATGGCTGAGTAGTTTATTGACCAGAGGCGAAGGATGAATAACAAAATACCAAAAATTTTGGAAAAACAATTTTTAGAATGAAAACCAAGTTATCGAAAAACCAGGCGAACCGTGCTTATCCAACAATTCTTTATCGAGATTGAATTCAACCTCTTGTTCAAATTCGGTTGTAATGGTCAAAACAGATTTTCCGCTAGTAATAATCATCAATAATTGTTCTGGAGTTTAGAGTAACTGAATTTACATCACTACTTCACAACGATAATTCAACTTTGAATTTTTCTAGATTTTTCTAGAGCTGAAACAACCATGGCAGAATACATCGGCTGCTATGCATTTGTTGTATACAGCTTCGTCAAGCCAGTTTACAGATTGAATATATGTGTGAAATTCTGTGGAGAGGATAAAAAGAGCTATCTCTTTGGACTTAACGTCTGTTTCTTATTAGCGTGTTTATTTTTCGTTTACCTCATGCTTGATTGTTTTTGTTTGTATTTGTGTTTGATCGTTTACATTTGTCTGCCTGTTTGTTAACTCGATTGACCGCTTGTTTGTCCTACTGTTTATCCTTTTGTTCATTTGTATTTATGGAGATACATGAGATGAACTCGTGAAACAATTTAAAATTGTTGAACAGTAAAGATGTCAGCATTTAATATACCGGAGGTGGCCAAACTGCGGCTTGCCAGTCACATGCGGCTCTTCGAATGTTCAATTGTGGCTCTTGAATATGTACCATATTCCCTTTTCAATCTTTGTGTTATTATATTTCAACAAATTATTATAGTACCAAATATTTTTCAAAATGTCTTTTCAATTACTGACAACAATAATGAAAGACTAGGTATTGAGAAGCGCTGTCAACAATTATCTACCAAATTTTAATAAATTAGCGAAATATGTAAGACAAATGTGTTTAATTTTTAATTTATAAATGCAATAAACAAATTTGTTAACACCTATTTGTATGTTTCCAATAAATATAATTTCTGTCAAAAAAATTCTTAAATACCTCTTTTGCACACCATTTTGTTACGTATTTAATTGCGGCTCGCAAAAAGTATCAAATCTCGAAAAATGGTTCCAACTATCATGGAGCTTGGCCACCCCTGGAATATTTCACAGTAGAAAAGTATTCACCAAATCCTAGAGGCAGTAAAATAAAAATTTATTGTTATGTTTATGAAAACATTATCAATATACATTTGCAGTGTTTAAAATACTTTTTGTTGAATTTTTCCATGTTTTTAGGTCAGCTTTTGTTGTTTAGGTAGATGTTTGGATAATGGAAGTGTTCTGTTAATAAATCTGAGTGACCCGATTTTAAAATAATTAATTCACTTTAAACAAATATTTATTTGAAAAATTGTTTATTAATCAGAACGGAACAATGTGTTTCTGCGTTGAAAAAGCTTCCTACCCAGTAACAAGTAAACTTTGCAATATGTCATGCAGTGACGGTGTTGAGAAATGCGGAGGCAAACAATTTTATTCCGTTTATCAGAGTTTGTTTTATGTCAAAATACTTTCAAAACGTTTTACAATCGATCATAGCAAACATATCTTAAGTTATAAGCAACGCCAAATGTTTGACCGAATTTTTTTTTCAGCAAATCCTGCCAAATTGAACGAGCGTGCATTGGTCGATGCTGGATCCGTGGTCCCTGACGATGCGAAAGTATTTGAACATTTGAATTCATTGACCATTGAGTTATGCATGAGGATCTGTGCTGAGAATTTCTTTTCATTGGCATATCTCACAGTTACTAACTTTCATTTCAATTATTTTAATATAACATAATAATTATAATAATGACTTAAAATGTTTCTAATATTTAATTCACAAACAATTGGAACTTTTTGTAGGAAAAGGCTTTGGATTTTTTAGAAATTGTTGATGACCGTTTTTGTTTCTTGTTTATTCTTCTGCATTCTTATATAAATTTTGAGGTGGTTGCAACATCTTTAAACCTAAATTTTAATAAATACTTTGTTGAACGTGACTTTAGTCAGAACAAATGCCTTTTAAACCAACATCTTTTGGACATTTCTGGAAGTGTTCGAACAGCTTAACGCACGGTCGGAAGAGAATTTACTTTCTACTGTTGAAACTGCGAAATGTGTCTTTTGTGTAATAACTGTTTTATTATTACTGTTGTTATTTTTATTAATATTACTAAAATCATCATCATTTTTACGTTTCAATAGCATTTCATAATAATTGAACCAAAACGTTCGTCAAACTAAAACACGTACACCTGAATTGAACATTGGCCGTCATTGCCTTGTACAAGGCGGCAGATGAGTGCAAGTGCAGCTCTAGAGATAAGGAAACGTGTGGTCACCCCAACAACTATGAACAAAACTGCAATGTATACTGCCGTGGTAATGACGCTCAGAAATGTGGTGGGAGAAATTGCTCAGCTAAATTTTTAAGTATGAAATAGAATTAATTTATTTGCTTCGATTTATTTCATTTTTGAAATTGTTATCAAATCTTTTGTCTCTCTTTTTATATCTTATCAGTTGGAACATATCTTGAAATTCAAACTGGTCAGTCAGTTTATATTCACTGTGGTAATAAAAACATAGAATTGAAAAGATTAACACGATGTGATATAGCATGCGGAGATGGATGGTCTGGAGCATTCTGTGACAAAAGAGGTAAGTTTTTTTCATTTATTTCGAACTTCAAACTAACTGATTCAAAAGTTTTAAGTTAGTTTTTCAAACTGGAAATCTCTGAAGATTGTGCTGCGTACAATGGGCATTGTGGCGATCATTTGAACTGCAACGTAGTAAAACTAATAGGGAAATCGTATAGCGAATGTGTTTGTCCATACGGAAAGTACAGAACTGTTCAGTGGGAATGTGAAGGTGGTTATTGGTGATTCAATATATTTTTATAGTTGTCTGTTTTATAAATCTTTTAGATTTGTTTACCATTTGTCGTGATTTTGAAATAAAGATTTGCCGCTTAAGAATGTAGCGTTCAGAAAGAGAGTTGAGACCGTCCCACGACTTGAAACTATTCAAACAGAGTATCTGGTCGATGGTCACATCATAGGAAATCCCTCCAATCCCGTTTTTCAGTCAAAAGATGACATATTAATTACTGTACATCTTGACACTTTATACAAAGTACAATACGTAGTTGTCTATCACAGGCCGAATTTCATTGATATTGGTAATGGCATTTAAGTCGATTGAATATATTTCAAACGATGACGAATTTCTTGTAAAATCTTTTAGGAGAGAACAACCAAACTTATGTGGTTGAGTTGGACGATATTTTGCTTATTAATTCACTCAAAATTCCATGCAATACTTACGAAATAGACTCGACGATCTGTGCTAATCCACCAAAGCGCGTAACATGTAAGTTTCCAGATTTTAAATCAAAGTATGTCTTCATTTTTCCTGAAGTTTTGGAAAGGACCAATTATACGGCGGTTGATGAAATCGAAGTCTACGCAGGTTATTCATTTTTTTTCGATTTATTATTTTTTTATGCGTTTTTATTCATTTAAAATTCGTTTACTTGAATGATTAGTAGGTAACCTGACTTTCTTTCTAGGAAACAGTTTGAAGCAAGAAAATACAGTTGTAGGCTTCATTAGTCTCTTCTGTAAAAAATGTCTAATAATATTGATATTTCATTATTGATATTTTATTATTGATAATAATATTTTACAAAACAAGGTCGACGTTTTCTTTAAATTCACTTCAACACTTTATCTATCATTCAATCCCGGCGAGTTACACATACTCCAGAACTGAATTGATCTAATGTTTTGCAAATATGAATATTTGAATATAATTTTTCAAGTTTTTCTATTTTACACCTTTGCCAGTTACTTTAATGTAAATATTTCTATTTAAAATACATTATGTAAGTCTGTTCAGGTTAAGTCAGGAAATATCTTTCAAATGATTACGTCTTATATAAAACTTGATTGGCTTTCTGACGCAGATGACAGTTTGCGAGAATATTATTACGTGGGATGTTATGGAACGTTCATCAGTGAGTACACCTTGGAATCGAAAAAACTAACATTTGCTGAATGCACAAAGTTCTGTGAACAGTATCAGGACCCCATGTTGATTATCGGCCTGGCGGTCAGCAAATTCTTTCGTAGCTTGAATTAGACAAATTGCATGAAAAATGACGCTTATGTAAATTTCTTGTTGAACTTAAATTTTTTGTTTTAAAATTTGGTGGACTAGTTTGTTTGCCAAGTGTGTTTGTAATTGTTATGATTAATAAATAGTACTAATGTACATTTTGTTAAAAGTTTAACAATGTTTCAGATCAGTAATTGTTTGTAAATTTAATGTAAAGACTTTTTAGAGGTCGTATGATAATATATTACTATGGTCTCTTATTAAAATTACCGAAAATATTTGTAACACCATCTGTTAATTTCAAACCTAAAAAAAAACCATATTAAGAACGCGAGTGAGTGTCATTGCGGTTTGTCAGCCGGTGAGCCAAGTGAATCAATTAATTGCGGCTTAACTTGTCACGATGACCTACCTTGTGGCGGGTCTGAACATTACATTGTTTTTTCAGGTTTCAAACATATTCTTTCAAATTTTCATTTTTCGTTTTCAAATTTGAACAGCCATGTTTATGTTGCATATATAAAACAATCTAAGATTTTTACGATAGTTTTCCAAATTTCAGCTGAAAGGCCAATACCAAGATACGTTGGTTGTTACTCTGATAACTTGAAACAAAAGAACAAGGTGATTTTAGTTAGTCAGGGAGTCGCATATAAATCTTGCTTGGTGCAGTGCAGGACACAAAACTCCATTGAATTTGCCATAATGGTTTGTTCAAATGTTACAACTCTACAAATTTGGTTTATATCACATGCAACGAGTACAATGCGTGATCCCACATACGCTGTGTGTATCTTTGTAGATACCTCTGTGCATGGTGGGAGAGATACTAACTTTCAACCTTTCAACATTTTAATTTCAATTTCCAGGGTTCAACTCAATGCATGTGCGGGAATTTGATAAATGCCTCGGAACAAGTTGCCACATCTAAATGCAATAGGGAGTGTGAAGAAGGAGAAGCCTGTGGGGGCGACCAACAGTTTTCCGTATATAAAAGTAGATACATTAAAAGTATTCAAAACATTAAAAACAAACAACATCTGTTATGCATTTTATTTTTTCTTGCTTAACTTAAAAAAAAATTAAACACTTGTTTGTTAAGTTTTTAGTTTCAACAAACATTAAAAAATAGTTTTACAAAAATCTATTCAAAGTAAATGATCAATACAGTTTTCTCGAGGTATGAAGCAAGCATTGAACGTCACTTCTGCCTGGACAATTCTGCCGGATCTCCCGATTGCAAACCAGGAAGGTGTGATCCTGGTTGGACTGGACAACTTTGCAACAAGAGAGGTAACCTCTTCTATCCGTTATTCTTCACGGATGATCAAATTCAAATTATTTCTTAGAATGTTCCGTAAATAATGGTGCATGTCCGAAAGACTTTTTCTGCTCAAAAGTTTTCGTTGGCCCCGACATAACATCTGAATGTCGGAGAACCGTCAATTATACTTCAGCTCTTGAGAATGAAACTGGTAAGCTAAACATGCTCATGTTCATATCAAATGAAGCTCACAAATCTTAAATTATTTTCCGATAGGGATCACTGTGGTATCAGTTTGGCCAAACCAGTCACATTGGATCGCTTTGATCATTGCTGGATCATTTTTATCGCTCCTCTTAATGTCAATTGGATCCACCGTTGCTTACGTGAAGATGAAACATCCAGATATGTATGTAAAAAAAGTTCAACAAGGTAAAAAATGAAGAAATTTATTTTACTTGGCAACATTTAAACTCCTTTTACGCAATTATTTAACTCTAATTTAAAACATTTTTGAACGTTGCCAATAATTATTTGCCAATGTGATGTGATTAAATTTTCAATCAGTGAAAGATTTGAAATCAAAAGTTGGCGACAAACTGTCTAAATCAATCAAACCAAAAAAAGAAAAAACCGTCAAAGCTAAAGATGAAAAAACAGTTGGATCCGATAAGGGCGCCAAAACTATGGATGCGAAAGCAGCCTACATTGAAAAAACAGCTGCTCCAGTCTCAACTACTGCAAAGGCCTCTGCCACATCATCAGACGAAGAAAGTGATGATGAAAGTGAATAAAATTTTTAAAAGCAGTTTGCACTGAGGCATATAACATTTAAAATTTTTTAAAACTGTTTTTATTTTAAAAACATTTTTAAAATTTTTGGTTTGTTCTCAAAGTTTTCAAAATGTTTGCCGTGGTAATTTTTTGGCATTTGGTTTAAAGTTTTGAACGTGAATTTTGAGGCTATCCGTCTTTTGAGAAGTAACACATTATTGATTTATAACACTTCATTACATTATTAAATTCATTGTTTCTCTACCTATGTATCGACAGCAACTCTTTAAATGGCTACATCGTTATTCAAATTGATCCATTAACAGTGTGATATTCTTCCTGTTGCCATGTTATTAAGAGGGATGACTCCTAATATGATATTTATTTTCAACCGCACACGCTGCAAACATTTGTTGCCTTCGTTTGAAATTGTTTTGCAATTATTTATTTGTTTAGTTTTAATTTGTTTTTCATTGGTTGCGTTCTCGTTGGAATAAAAAGATTTATATTCACAACATTTCTGTCGATCGTTAAAAGAGTTGAAGAATTTAAGTGTTTCCAAATCCTATTGAGTAATGCGAAATATTAATAAGTACAGCGTAAAATGTTTTTTTAACGTTTTCCTAACCTGGGAGGCCAATTTTATTGAAATCAGAGTTTTACACATCTTAGAGAGCACAGAAAGTAAAAAAAAAGAGCTATAGCTCTTAAACATAACCTTGACTCAGATACATTTGCGTCATAATAAAAAAATGTGTAATTGAAACTCATCCACCAGTGTAACAGCAGAAGTATTTTTAATTTCGAGTTAATTTTACACCAAATGTGTAAATAGTAAGTTTCATATGAAAATAGCTCCTCCGCTCCCAAAAATGAGTTGATCAACCGCTGATAAGTTATTTGCTTATCGCAAGGCATATCTAATAAAACTATTAAAATACCTAGCAACTGACGAAAACGATAGTATTAAACTACGAATTTACTACTTCAACGAAAGAACGTCATCCCTCGTGATGAAAAGCAACCGCAATAGTAAGCCAGAATCGATAATAGATCATAGCCATCTAATAAATTCGTTCAAATGTAATATTGGTGAGTGTGGGCACCATAATTCCGCATATATTTGAATGACGACGATCAAGCTATCGAGAAGACTCATGATGGTAGGCTACAATTAATAATTAGAATGCTTAACAATATTTACTTGAGAAACAAAACGACAAACACATTTTCAGTTTAAAGCGCTTTATTAGCTACACTTAAATCGTGAAAATAAATACAGATAATGAAATTTTAATTGACATACATCGAGATATCAATTAAAAACTTTGTTTTAATTGATTAATTAAAAAAGTTTATATATATATATATATATATATATATATATATATACTATATATATATTTATTAAGTATTAACCAAACAAATAGAATTTATATTCACATGATTACATGGGAAAGATAATAAGGAGGAAGGAACGGGAGGAAGAAATTGTAGTTGTACACGCAAAAAAGTGTGTGATGTGTACACACGCAGCGAAAAACACACACACACACACACACACACATATATATATATATATATATATATATATATATATATTTATATATAATTGATAAAAATCACAAAATGTTCAGCGTTAGTTAGCTCCCTATTTAATTTTTCTAACGGTAGATCATAAATCATTGTCAAGTTTCTTAAGGTATTGTTCTTTGGATACGATGACGAAGAAAAATCCTAAAGTGTAAAAGTGTTATGGCAAAAAGTGAATAGGTCAAGGAAAAATAAAGTTTTAATTGACACTTCAGTTGACAAAGAGGATAACGTTGTCATTGAAGATATTCACAAGGCCAATAAATAGTTTTTCCGATTGATTTAAAAATGTTTATGTTGAGGATAACATATTGTATGGTGGGTGCTGTGAACAGAATTTTGACTAAATTACAAATGAAGTTATGATGGATGATTTGGTTGTAAATGCACTTGATGTGAAAGAGAAAGATTAATGGTTTGAACAGATTTAAATCTGCTGGTCCGGATGTTTTTGTTTATTAGGTATAATACACAAAACTTTCAAATATTTAAATAAAAATTCATTTTTACTAATTTAGTAAGGTAAAAACTCGAGTATGCAGCCACTGTTTGATCACCATGGAAAAAAGAAGGAAGTTGAGGAGTTGGAGCGAGTGCAAAAGCATGCAACCAAGGTGGTGCGTAAATGCAAAGGACTTTGCTACCCGATCGCTTGAAGTTGTTGGAACTGTTGTCTTTGGGGTATAAAATAACAAGGAGAGATTTGATAACGCTCTACAACATCGCCAACCTCGCCAGAAGTTGATTTTAATGTTGAATTTCAAACCAGAGAACATCGTTTCAAGATACATGTGCAGAAATATAACAACAACAGAAAATTCTTCTTTACCAACATGGTCTTTTCAATATGGAATAATTTGCCAAAAAAATTAAATTATTGAATCTGTTACTGTCGTAAAATTTAAACTTCAACTTGATAAATATATGACTAATGAAGACTTTATTTTTGATTATAACATGGACACTATTGTTTGATTATATATATTCTGTTATGTGGTTTATGTTTCTAGACATGGGCATATTGACTTCATAGTTTAAGCCCATTATAATATATATATATATATATATATATATATATATATATATATATATATACATATACATATATGGCTGAAAGGAGATGGATAATTGATGAAATATTTGATAAAATCTACCAAAATTTTAGCTTTTGAAAGTTTACGATTGAGTTTTTCAATATTTCTAATAGTAATTTCATAATTATTATCCAAGTTCATTTTATAATTATTATCCATAGGTTAAATCGAAATATGGCCTATAAGCTTCATCATGAACACTAACTTCAATCAATCTTCAATTTGCGTCCAGAGACCCGGTTCCCCGAGGTAGGACGTTGTTTTCTTTGCCATCAACTTTTTGCGCCAAATTAGACGATCAGTTGTATCCATTTCATTTAAATTTAGAGCTTCCATGTCTTGCTCGATTGTTTGCGACCAGGACTTCTTTGGACAGCCTTTGGAACGTGTGCCAGGTACTTCAACATCTGCAAGAGAAGTTATGGCACTGTTTCCACTTCGTTTGACATGACCAAACCACCGCTGACGGTGTTGCCGGCATTCGTCCTTTATATCATCTAAACCAGCACGACGCAGAATTTTGGTAGATTTGATTTGGTCATTCAGACTAATTCGTTGCATCCATCGGAGCATTTTCATGTCGGTTCGTTGAAGTTGAACTTTTCCCCAAATTATTCTTATGCCACCATGAACACTAACTTATGAAATAATAATTATAAAATTACTTAGAAATATTGAAAAACTTAATCGTGAACTTTCAAAAGATGAAAATTTGGTATATTTTATATTTTATCAAATATTTCACACACACACTCACACACAACCACACAAACACAAACACAATGATGATGTCATGATGATGTTGATAATGATTGTAGATTGAAAACGTGAAAACGCTGAATAAGAACTCATTCCTCATCAAAATAATTCAAATGATAAAAAAAATAACAACACTAACAATAACAACTATTATTATCATCATCTTCTTCATCATGATAACGATAATGAAGAATGAGTGAATGGATGATGAATGGATGGATGGATGGATAGACGGTCAATTTTGATTTACTGGCGCTAGAAATATTAAAACAATTTTTAGAAAAAAAACGAATTTAGAAAAAAATAATTAAATGAATAAATTTTTGATTTATTGAATGAATAAATAAGTAAATGTACGAATGAATGGATGAATTAATGAATGGATGAATGAGCGAATAAATGAAATGAGAAATGGACGAATAAAAGCAGTAACGAGAAGAAAAACAAAGTAAACAAAAACAATGAATAAATTAAGAACAAACAAACGAACGAACGAACGAACAGATGACGAACGAAAAATAAATAAAAATTGAATGAGCTTTTTTTAAAAAAATTTAACAGAAAAATTTCTATGCCTAATTAAATAAATAAATGAAATCCGATCGGTTTAACAATAAAAATCTATAATTAATTTAACATGCTTTTAAAAATTGAAAAAAGGTTATTTAATTTAAATTAACTTTTAAAAAAACTCACGAGAGTTCGAAATTTAAATGATATTACATTGTAACTCAATCGTTCGTTAGACTTTTTCAATAACAGCATCAACAGTAATAAACGCATAAATAATAATGATAATAATAATATTATCATTAATATTAATAACTACAACAATTACAGAATAACAAAAATAATAATTGCGTGGTGGCTCGATGGTTAGAGGCGCCTGGCCCTGCTGTTGCAGTGACTGACTTCAAATGCCCACAGATCCCTACCGATAATAGTGTGTGGTGAGTGGTTCTCACGCGTATTCAAATACGCTGCGGGCGTTTGTCGTTAAAACCTCCAAAGCGAGTGCACTAGAAAATGACTTTTAACCTTTCAACCTTGAATAATAAACACCAATACGATTAATAATCTATATAGAAATAACAAAAAGTCAACATCACATCGTGTATGTGTTTGTATGTATTATGTGTGTGTGTGTTTGTATAATTATGTATGTATGTACATATAAATATATATATTCTGTATTGGGTGTCGCTATGCGATTTTGTGATTTTCTTGCCAACGTTTGCTTAAGTGAATGTATCATTGAGCTCCATTAAATCATCTGCTAAAGAACTAATGCGTTCTAACTATTTCTCAGCATTCGCATTCTATAATTAATTTCATGTATTTTAGAATCTTTGTCAGCTTACGTATGTTTTCATTGCAACGTGTTTACATATCGTACGGGTATGTATGTTGTGTGTGTGTGTGGAAATGTATTTGTGTGTGCTAATGTGTATAAGAACTGATAAGAGCAGGAGGACAAGTCGGGTGTAAAGAAACTCACACAATCTGTCAAGAAATTTGGGAAAGTGGAAAATGGCCAGAAGAATGGTGCAAGTCAGTTCTGGTTATGCAGCCGAAAAAGGGAGACCAAAAAGACTAATAATTACTGATCAATTGCAAGATCATATTCAAGATCATGCTGACCATCATAAAAGAACGACTGGAAAAGGTCATAGAGCAACATCTGCATAAAGAACAACTAGGCTTTAGAAAGGACAGAAGCACGATTCAACAAATTCTGATGTTGAGGTTGCTGATAGAAGACGCAAAAAGTAGCGGTGAGACAATCAACCATTGCTTTGTTGATTTTAAGAAAGCGTTTGATTCTGTCTGGCATGAAGGTTTGTGGGCAACATTAGAAAGTATGGGAACATCAGAAAAGCTGGTCAAAGTACTGAAAGGACTTTATGAAGAATCAAAAATTTCGGTAATAATAGGTACAGAACTTGGGAATTGGATAAAAATAGACATTGGAAGCAGACAGGGCGATCCAATATCACCAATACTATTCTAGCATTGCCAGAAAGAACAATGGAAAAAATGGAAAATTCGAAATTGAATGGAATTGACATAGGAAGGAGAACTGTCAAAACTCTCAGGTTTGCAGACGATATAGACCTTCTAGCTTCTAGTAAAAAAGGTCTACTGAAACTACTTGAACTAACACATGTTGGTGGAAAAGATCACGGGTTGCACATCAACAAAGACAAAACGAAGGTGATGATTTCGGAAAAAGGCAGAAACAATGCGGAATTTCAGATAGAATCAGAAAAACTCAAACAAGTAGACCGGTTTGTGTATCTTGGCAGTCTTATAGCCTGTGACAACTGCACCAAAAAATTAACGAGGAGACGATATTGGAAGAAAATTTGGTAGACCTGTAAAGAAATGGAAAGATGACATTACTGAATGGACTGGTGTTGGTATTCTGAATTCAATAAAACTGGCCAAAGATAGAAAAGGTTTTTGGAAAGAAAAAAGGAAAAAATAAAAAGCATGCTTAGATGTATACCATCGGCCTCGACGGTTCCTCGATGGACAAAAGAAGAACATACATTGATTGATTTTATATATATATATATATAAATAATAAATAATAATAAATAAATATATATATATATATATATATATATATATATATATATATGTGTGTGTGTGTGTGTATGTGTGTTGGTAATAGACCATAATTTATACAATATTCTATAAATTCTACCGAATGTTTGGCGTTAATATGTTTGTAGTTCGTTTTTTCCATTTTTCTCACTAAAGTTTCATTTATAAATTCTTTCCGGCATAAGTTTAGTTCATTCTTGACACTGCAGTCAACATCACAGTGATCCCATTGATTCAACAATTCAGTTAGTTGATTGGACAAATCTAGAACTACCTTCCTTTTAACTTCTAATTCTTTAGTGGAAAAAATTGAAAAAACGAATATATAAAAATTGAATATATATATATATATATATATATATATATATATATATATATATATATATATTTCATTTTAAAAGTCGGCCTTTAAAAATGACCAAATAGCTGAGGCCCAACTCTAAATTTCGGCTGAATATACACGGTATACACAATGGAGGGTGCGTGCGTGCGTACAGGTGGCGTGTGCGTGTTTGCGGTTGTTTTACATGCATATATGTATATATGTACTTTGGTGTTTGGTGTAGTTTGGATGTGAAAGAGCTGAGAAGCATAAGTCTTTTGAGAGGACGTTAAAACAATAATAACATTGAAATAATAATAACAACAATAAAAATGATTATGAATACGCGCAACATAACATACATGCACAATTGCACATGTAAAAATTATGTAAACATTCCAAAAATAATATTATATATATATACATATATATATATATTTATTTATTATCATAAATAGTATATATAAATATATATTGATGTCAGATCTATATTCTCACATATATGTATGTATGTGAGTGTGTGTGTATGTGTGTGTGTGTGTGTGTGTGTGTGTGTGTGTGTGTGTGTGTGTGTGTGTGTGTGTGTGTGTGTGTGGGTGGGTGGGTGTTTAAAATCATCATAACTCAAAGCGTATAGAAAGATAAGGATAGATGAATAGATTGAAATTAACATTACAATGACATGACGGAACAACAATCCTTAATTATTTTTAAAAATAATAATATCTAGATTTATATAAATTATTTGTATAATATAAATAAATAAATAATTGAATGAATGAATAAATAAATAAATGAATAAACGAATGAATGAATGAACAATTGAATGAATAAATAGATTAAATAAATATAGACGGAAGGATAGATAGATAGATAGATAGATAGATAGATAGATAGACAGACAGACAGACAGACAGACAGACAGACAGATAGATAGATAGATAGAGAGATGGATGGATGGATGGATAGATATAAGATATATTGATATATGCATGGAATAGATAGAGGCGTAAATAAAGCAAATATTGATTATGTAGATATATGAAAATTGGAAACTTTATATATTTGTTTATGATTCATTTATGCATTCAATTATAAACAGAAATACACAAATTCTCATTATCATCCTCCCAACTAACGTAACTATCATCCTCATTACAAACTCTTCACCACCACCATCGTCATCATCATAATCATGTAAGCTGTGTGGGTGTGTGTTTGTCGTTGATGCCTCTGAAGCAAGTGCAAAAGAGAGAATGACCTTCAACCTTTGACCCCTACTATCATCTTCATCATCAACATCACTATCAGCATCATCACTCGGATCACTCCCAGCCACTGGTCAGTTTATGGAACATGTCCTGGTCGAGGTTGTGTGAATTTTCCATGGACCTCATGCAGAGGAAGATGTAACCGCCGATGAACTCGTGCACCACCTTGCAGTCCGCTGTCAGACACTGGAAGATCAGGTCCTCCTCTTCGAAACACACCTACATGTGTGTACGTGTGTGTGTATTTTATATGTATGTGTGTGTGTGTATTTTATATGTATGTGTGTGTATGTGAGCGCGTGTGTGTGTGGTGTGTGTGTGCGTGCGTGTGTGTGTGGGTGGTTTAAATATTGGTGTGAATGCTGTTTCGAGTGGATGTCTGCAGATGTGTCTGCGTGTTTGTGCGTGTGTGTGTATGCGCGTGTGTACATGCGTGTGTGTGTATGCGTGTGTGTGTCTGCGTGTGTGAATGCGGTTCTGCCTATCCAAAGTGTTGTCTTGCAGTTGTGCGTCTGTGCGGTGACCAGCACCACAACATGCTTCATCATCATCATCATCACCACCACAAAGACCACCACATCATCATCGTCATCATCATGACTACCAAATCATCATCATCATCATTATCAATATAATCACAACCATAAGGACTACCACACATCCTCACCCCACACCCTCCCAACCAACCAGCACAGCACCACCAACAACGACCCACCTGTACTTGCTTGATCTCCCAGTTCACATTCCAGGATTTCATGGTCTGGAAGGTCCAGGACTTGAGGGTGTCACCGCGGGAGAGGTCCATCAGGATGAGGCGGCTGGGACTGATGGCAAGCAGTTCCTGATGTCCAATTAATCATTCAATTAATTAACCCATCAATTAATTAATCAATCAATTAATTGATTAATTAATTGATTAATTATTGATCGATCAGCAAATTGGTATAACTTTCTTTTCTTTTTAATACAAATTTCTTTTAATGAATTTGCATTCTCAAGCTTGCGACACACACACACACGCACACACACACACACACACACACACACACACACACACACACACATACATACACACGCACGCACACACACACAGCACATCTAACACCCCAACCATCCCACCAATCCGACCCCACCACCACCAACACATCCACACCACCACTACCATTATCTCACCAATCCGACCCCGCCACACCCAAACCACCCCCACCAACCTCTTTCTTGGCGCCCTTCAGCTTGACGATGAAGTAGGTGAGGCCGTACTCTGGAAGCGCCTGCCACAGCTTCATGTACTGCAGCTTCGATTCCAACATGTTGAGGTGGCCCACATTCATCTGGGCGTCTATTATGCGTTGCACGATCTGTGTGGTGGTGGTGTGTGTGTGTGTGGTGATGAGTGGTGATGGTGGTGATGTATGTGTGGTGATGATGATGTGTGCGTGGTGATGATGATGTGTGCGTGGTGATGATGATGTGTGCGTGGTGATGATGATGTGTGCGTGGTGATGATGATGATGACGAAGTGTGGTGTTGATGGTCATGATGTTGACGATAAGTCGCGTGAAGCGGCAACACGATTATTCAAATTCAAATCCAAATTCACATTAGGATCATATCATGATACCAGCAATGATATCATAATACTATCTTTCAATTAGTGTTGCGCCAAATGGGGCTTGAACCACACCCCCCCCATGAAGACCGCACCACCGCGTACACACAAACAGTGCACACATCAGTCAGTGTACGTACGAAAGATAGGCACCATGCAGGATCGCTTCGCATTCAAACTCAGCCACTACTAGGCACGAGACCGGCACATTACCACTAAGCTATCCTGTCATCGTCGTCATCATCATCCTCATGATCATGATCATCATCATTATCATCATCATTATCATCATCATCATCATCCTCATGATCATCATCATCCTCATGATCATCATCATCATCCTAAGCACTCACCTGATTAGTGCCCTTAATCTTGCTAAGGAACCTCGGAGCAACGTACGACTCGACCTCGAAGGAGGTGCCCTTCAAAATGTCCTTGACCTTGGCCTGTGGGGAGGGGTTGGGCGAAGGGTGGTGAATCCGCAGAAAGGATTCGATGGCCCTAACTTCAGAGGCGTATGAGCTGTCGGCCATCGTGTGGCCCCTGGTGGCCAGTTTGAAGGCTGCCATCCACCTGGCGTACTGATCCTCCTGATGATGATGAAGATAGTAATGATAATGATGATGATGATAGTAATGATAATGATGACAATAATGATGATGATGTAATGATGACGACGATGATGATGATGATTGTAATGATAATGATGATATGAATGAGTTAGACCAAAATGACATGGAGTCATTCGACAAAGGAAATATGCAAGCAGTAAGGGAGTGAGAAAGAGAGAGAAAGAGAGAGAGAGAGAGAGAGAGAGAGAGAGAGAGAGAGAGCCCATCTACTGGCCAGCAAGTCAACCGACCAATCAATCAATCAATCAATGATCAACAAACAAACAAACAAACATGCAAACATCAAACAAACAAACCACAAACAAACAAACCAACAAACAAACAAGCAAACAAACAAACAAGCAAACCTCAAACAAACAAACCACAAACAAACAAACCACAAACAAACAGACCAACAAACAAACAAACCAACAAGCAAGCAAACCAATAAACCAACAAACAAACATACATACAAACGAACGAACGAACAAACCAACCCTCTCCGGCTTGATACAGAACTCCGAAGCACCTTTCTCAGAGGGGACGAGCAACTTGATGACGAACTTCTGCGTCGATACGTTCACATCTGCACTCACCTCACAACCTGTGTGAGTGTGTGTGTGTGCTTGTTTGTTTGATTGTGTGTATGTATGTGTTTGTGTGTGAATGTGTATGTATGTGTTTGTTTGTGTGTGTGTATGTATGTATGTATGTATGTTTGTGTGTGAATGTGTATGTATGTGTGTGTGTATGTATGTGTGTGTGTTTGTGTATGTATGTGTTTTTGTGAAAGAATACGTTTATTTGATGAAAAAATAATAACTCTTTGACATTAAAACACGATGATGATGATGATCATCATCATCATTATCATAACACCATCAGGCTATCATCATCATCATCAACCTACCATCATCATCATCATCATCGTCCCAACCTTTCAAATCGATGCTGTAGATGGCACCGTTGTGGTTGCCGTTGTTATGAGAGTGTTTATTGCCATGGTGATGATGATATGATGATGATGACGATGACGACGATGATAACTTGGAAATGGTCAGGGTGGTTTCCTTGAAGGTGAAGTGGTACTTTTTAGAAGTCTTCAGGCCAAATTTCTTCGGCCTGTCGTGAGTGAGTGAATAAATGAATGAATGAATGAATGAACGAGTAAATTCAAAATGAGTGAGTAATTGATTAAGTAGTGGATGAAGATTGAGTGAATGAATGAATGAACGAATGAATGAACGAATGAATGAACGAATGAATAAATGAACGAATGAATGAAAGAGTGAATGAGCAATTGAACGAATGAAAAAATAAACAAAAAAATGAATGAATAATATAATAGTGTGATGATAAAACGACAGCATCAATGGTAAATGAAGAATGATGTTGAGACGGTCGCATGTTGAGATGGTCGCATGTTGAGACGGTCGCATGTTGAGACGGTCGCATGTTGAGACGGTCGCATGTTGAGATGGTCGGCTCCAACAAACGCTAATTAAGCATCATGACCATTTTTCCTTACATCCTCAACTCTTTATTTTCATCTATGAGCCAATCTTAATTTACACTTTTCCAAAACCGTTTGTTTCGCAGAATTTAAAAACAATAAAATGTTAAGCTGTTACAGTCCCGTCACCACTGCAACCTGGCTCAATGCACACACGAGCATCACAGCACATTGTTATTATTATTATTAAAATCTCGAAGATCCATTCGCGAAGTTGCTTGCCGCCGTTCAATGAATTTTTATATTTCAAGTTTGTTTAAATTTTAAAAAAGTTGATGAAAAATGACGATCTTAATGAGAAATAATAAAAAAAAATTGTTTTTACTGAAGAAACCATTAAGCATCAAGTGTCCAACCTTCAGATGATCAACCTCTTAATTAGTCCAACAACTAACCAACCACGTGACCAACCATGTGACCAACCCATCCAACCCCCCTACTCACTTATAAAACCTCATATCTTCCCTCAGTTCTGGAGTCTCAGTGATGTCATCCATGACGCCATTGTCTCCGTTGACCTTGTCGACAGAATTCAAGTTCGAACCTTCCAAGGTCGTCTGTAGGTCGTTGAGGGCAGCGTCTATCTCGTCGTCTGTCTGATTTCCTTCCGTCTGGTCGAAAGAGGGCTGGGGAAGAGTGCTTTGGTGGGTGACCTGCAGCTGTCGGTGAAAATTTGAATATGATTATTTACCTTGTGTTAAGATAAATTGTTATTTGGCCTGAATCCATCTCTAAACCGAATTTTTAACGATCGGCGTTTTTCCCACTGGCGCTCCTCATACGAAGGCTAGGGCACCTCGCCAACTTTTAACAAGTTACATCCCGTCTTCAAGAATGCTACACTCACACAAACACTCAAACAAAATTGAATTTTGTGTGCACGGGACTAAATTCTACATATATGGTGCACATAATCTACAGTACCCACGTAACTGAGAAAAAACACCGGCTAGCAAAAATTCTCGTTTAGTTATTATTTTGAATGCTTGATAACCTTTGAAATGTCTGATTATCATCACATCATTACCACATCATTATTACGTCATCACCACGTCATCATCAGCACTTACCTGTATGGCAGCTAAGGTAATCATCTCTTCCTCTGTACAATCAACCTCCTCGGATAAGACTGACCACTTGGCCTGCTCGTATATCTGGTTGATCCTCACCGCATCGTACTGTGTGGTTGAGTTGTTGGTTGGTTGAGTGGTTGATGATGAGTCGATTGGTTGGTTGATGAGTTAAATGCTTGGTTGGTTGATCAGTTGATTGGTTAGTTGATTGATAAGTTGATTTGTTGGTTGATTGATAAGTTGATTGGTTGGTTAATAAGTTGATTGATTGTTGATTGATAAGTTGATTGGTTGGTTGATTGATAAGTTGATTGGTTGGTTGATTGATAAGTTGATTGGTTGGTTGATTGATAAGTTGATTGGTTGGTTGGCTGATAAGTTGATTGGTTAGTTCATTGATAAGTTGATTGGTTTATTGATTGATAAGTTGAGTAGTTTAATGGTGATTGATCAAATAATTGATAAAATGAATGATTAATAGATTGATTGATCATTTGATCAACTGATTGATTGATTTACATCAATTAATTAATCGATTAGTTGATTGGTTGATCGGTTAGTTGGTAGATTGATTGATCAATTGATTGGTTGATTAATTAATTAATTAATTAATTAATCGTATAAATGATTAATAAAGTAGTTGATAAAGAGAGAGCCCGACTGACCTTGAGATTAAGGTCATAGAAGGAGAAGAACTTGAACTTGAGGAAGAGCATGTCACATTCCTTGATGCCCTGCTCCAAGAGGGAGCGTGAGGAATCCAGCCAACTGCGTGGTGGGGGGGGGGAAAGATATGAAAATAATTTCTTTTCTATCATATGTAAAATATCTTCAATGGCGACAGCCATCGTGTGGTAACGCTGGAGAATTGTAGCGGCGATTCGCGACATAAATTTTAGTAGCGACGACAAAAAATTGTCAACCGCAGCCACACAAACAACACCAACCACACAAACGACAACAACCACACAAACAACACCATCAACATAAACGATAACAGCCACACAACCGACAACAGAAACACAAATCATTATCTCTTAATTTTTTTTTATTGGCTAATGATTTTACTTCGGACCCATTAAAACTTTATCGGTGTTATTATTTTTATTCTTCTTCTTCTTTCTTTCTTTCTCGTGCCTTTTCCTTTCAGGACATTGGCGACCACCGACCTCCACAAAACCCCATCTTTAACACTTTTTATTAGTTGAAATGTTATGATATTCAACGAGTGACACAAGTTCCTCGCGAATGTTGTTCGTTGTTGACCGCGATCTCTTCTCCCTGCAATCTTCCAGTAGTTTCCAAAACTGGGTGACAGATGTGTGCAGGCTGCTCTGCCCAAAGTATGGAATGATCCTCCAACAAGATTAAAGCAAATTGTTCCAGAAAAAAGATTTCAAAAGAGAGTTAAAAAGTTATTTGTTCAACAAAGCATTTAATCACAGTACAATCCTCTGAGGAATGTCAATAGAGTGAATAACATAATAATAGTTGTTAGATTTTCCATTATTTCCTTCCGCATGATGTGACCAAAAAACTCTAACTGCCCCCGTCGGATTATCAGTAGTAATTTACTCTTTTCATAACCGAACCGTATTAATACATCCTTATTCGAAGTATGAGAGGTCCAACTAATTTTATTATATTATTATTATCATTATCATCATCATCATCATCATCATCATCATCATTATTATTATTATTATCATCATCATTATTATTATAATTATTATTATTATTATTATCAGTATTATTATTATTAAATCAATTTATCTATTTTATTTTATTTTATTAGATTTTAACTAGACTTTTATCTCATTTTACTATATTTCATATTTTTCTAGAAATAAAAGAGAGTTCACATTATTATTATTATTATTATTAAAACGGCCTGAAAGGGACCTACCCAGCATTAATCCTTGCCTTCTCGGCGTAACTCTTGGGATAGTAGAGGTAACTTTTGACGGCATCTATAGAGGTTGGCATGGTGATGGCGAAACTGCTGTCGGGGTCAAAGTTCAAGCTTTCTGGGTTGTAGGGAGAGTAGCCGGGTGACTGTCGGGAAAGGGTTGTGGGGGTGCTGGAGTTGAGGGTCGGTGTCATGGGGTTGCCGGATTGGAGGGATCGCCTGCCGAGTGTGCTCTGGTTTGCGGAGATGGTGGTGATGATGATGATGACAGAAGTGATGATTATGATAGTAGTGATGGCAGTTGTGATTATGAAAATGTTCATTACAATAGTTGGTATAACGTTAAAAAAACTGAGAAATTCCTGAACTTCTGGAGCCATCTTATTCATTCCACTAAACCATCATTCATTCTGACACATGCAACAAAGTTAAAACACTCCCCATCCAACAAACAATCACACCTCACACTCACCTGCGGCGTGCCACTGCTAAGGTGTCTGTTGGGGCTGCCAAGAGTTGACGTGTCAAAGGGTGAGGTGAGGCCGTAGGGGGTATGTGGCCCACTTAGCTGGGACCTCCTGGTGGCCGAGATGCCCTTGTTCTTTCGCAGTTCATCGGGAGAGAGTTTCTGGGTGAGGGAGAGTTCTTCCGAGTGTCTGATGCCTGAGTGAGTGGTGAGTGAGTGAGAGAGTGGGTGAGTGAGTGAGTGAGTGAGTGAGTGAGTGAGTGAGTGAGTGAGTGAGTGAATGAGTGGGCGAGTGGGTGAGTTAGTGAATGGGTGAAGTGGTGTGGTCATTTTTTACGGTGGTCAACATTGTAATCAATTTTTGTGTTTTCGTGAATTAGCTGTTGCACTTCATAATGAGGGGTAAAATTGATGGAAAAAATGTACGTGACGGTCACGCGTTTGAGACCCATCTCGAGATAGGGAACTGCATACTAATTGCATTCATATTCTATTAGTATGCAATGCCGTACAGAAAAAAGAGAGATAGAGAAAGAGAGAGAGAGAGAAAGTAAGAAAAAGTAATAGAGAGAGAGAGAGAGAGAGATTGAGAAGTAAAAATATACTAGTACTACTACAGTTGCAACGACAACAGCAACCAGGACGATATCACGAACGCAACAACAACAACACTGAAATAAGCCACTCACATTACAACACGAACTCATTCTGGAAAACCGACATTATAGATGATAAGGTTAACCGGGCAGATAAATTGACGTTGCTATTTCCATCTTTTTCCCACTCTAGCTCTGGCTCTCTCTCTCTCTCTTTTTCAATCTCTCACTGTTTCTTGCTCACATTCCTTTTCTTACATTCTTTCTCCACAATTTCTTTCATTCTCTCTCTCTCTCTCTCTCTCTCTCTTTCTCACATTTGACTTTCTTTTTCTCCCTTTTACTCTCTTTCTCAATAAAAGAAATGTTGAAGATGATGGATGATGAAGGGATAATTCTGAAGGTGACAACCTTGCTGTAGAAATAGTAGAAATATCAGCATTATCGCTGGAGGAATATATAGATAAGGAGGGGTCCATGAATGAACTTAGTTGTGACGAAAATATGTCAACAACGATGATGATAACGATGATGATGACGACGACGACGATGATGATGACGATGATGAAGACGACGATGATGATGACGACAACAATGATGAAGATGACTTTATAGTGGCTTTATAATGATGACGATGATGATAATCAAAATAAACTCTGAGCGATTATTTCGTGGGAACCAATGAATAGCAACAACACGAAACAATGGCAAAAGAGTATCAATATAAGTAATAATAACAAAAATAATAATAACAAAAACGATAACAACAATAATAATAAAAATAGCAACAGTTATTTCATTCCCATTATCATCCGATCTACCGCATGCCACGCGTTTTCATCTTGATGATTAGAACAACATCAACAACCGACATCCAAACACTCAACCGCCATTTCAATTAACGGTAATAGTAATAATTTATTATTATTATTATTATTAACGTTATTATCATCATCATCCTCACCACTATTATGATCAGAATCTTCGTAACGTCGTCATCAATATCAATATTACATCATCTATAGCAGCAGCAGTAGTAGTAGCAACAGTAGCAGCAGCAGTAGTAGTAGCAACAGTAGTAGTAGTAGCAACAGTAGTAGTAGTAGTAGTAGTAGTAGTAGTAGTAGTAGTAGTAGTAGTAGTAGTAGCAGTAATAGTAGTAGTAGTAGTAGTAGTAGTAGTAGTAGTAGTAGTAGTAGTAGCAG